AAATATGTTTTAGACTATCCTCATTGTGATGTCAGTACTTCTTCCCACGGTAAACGCAGTGAATGACTAAGTATATATATTTTTGGTCTTATTGAGGAGCTATATGAAGGACGACTATAATTACAGGTGGGAGATGATAATTCCTTGCACACATAAAGACGCTGCAACAAGACGACGCTCAGTTCAGGTTCATTTACGCAGACGCCATCTTTTAATAAAAATCGAATCAAATGTGAAAATTCATAAAATTATGACCGCTTCTGTTTATATTCAATATAATCAAGAATATTTTTACAAATAAGTGTTACATCTATCCATAGCCTTAGTTAAAGAAACCCACCTAGAATTAAATTGAAATTTGATCAAGACGAAGGTGATAGTATGCCAAACTTTCGTCGATAGCTGATTGGGATGGATCAGGCGGACAATTGATACCCTTGTTCTATGTAACCCTATTCTCCTAGCCATGACAACCCAACCACCGCTCCCCCTTGCAGAGGCATATTGAATTCCGCACTCTTGGATTACTCAAGGGAGAATGGACATCTGCAAGGGGAATGTTCTGTTGTTGGTAACTCTAGCTCTAACATGGCAACCCTACCACAGGTATGCGGCACACCTTTACCAAGGTGCAACTCAATCAGAACAGGAGAATGACGAACGATTTATTAAATTAACGCTGAATGTAATTAAAACGTTCTCTTTATCCAGTTAACATGTCACCCAATAGTCCAATACTCTATAAGTTAAGATATTCAATTTGAAATGTATTACTAATTTTCCAAACGTGGATTCTAACTCGAGGAATCTTGGATGAATTATAAATCACCTTTCAAAATCCAATTACAATTATGATTAAAATATCTAAATTTAGAAATACACATTTTATTAGAAAAATTCCTACATTCCCAACCACTGTGTTTGGAACTGAGTTGGAAGCGAATACAAAACAGTAAACATATCCAAATGTTAAGACAGATACCAAGATAAAAAACTTTAATTCATCTTCCTTTCCTAATCTTAGATTGATACAATGTCCAAATGATAGAAACATGACGTCCAGACCTTGCTCCATATTTTCTTAATTATCTTTCCAGTTTCGGGACTTTTGTTTCACGCTTAATAAATCTAATCTTCGCCCAGGTTAAAGGTGTCTTGCATCGCGAACAACTTCATTAACAGTATTACCATTTGGATTGGCCCAATAAAATATTCCAATAATTTCATTAAATCAACCTTGGGGCTAAGAATGGTTAATTTGACACTTTGACTCCCCTGATCTTCTTCATTGGTTTTCATTAGGACTTCCTAATGCCGGGTAACCTCATTAGCGGAAAAAGAAAATTAATCCTTAGATTTTTCGGGATCTTCTGGTCTAAAAAGTCCACTCTTTTGCCAAATTGAGTCCTATTGTCTGACTTTGACTTGTAGATTCCGCCCTTTGGAAGTAGATAGGTCAAAGTTTCGGACCACGTTGATTAAACCAAGAACTTTTATATCGACGTTCATCAGAAGATCACGACTTATTCATCCTTCTTTATTGAATATTTGATCTTGGATAACACTTCAAAAATTAGTTAATTTTTTTTATTCCCTCGATTGTGCATTATTACAAAACTGGTCCCTCTTCGGCCTTATTTAAATAGCTCTTTTGTTTCTGTGTGATTAATGACACAGATGTGGTGATACATGAGATCAACCATTTGATCCTGGACCCCCACCCCTTCCTACTTCAACAAGCAATACTACAGGGAACATCTTTTTGGCGTAATCTTGCTTGGGTTCAGAAAACGTGTTTGGTACGGTTTTTGTGACATCGAAAAGTAATTTGAGCTTCAAAATGATGCAAGATTTTGAAACATACGAGGGTGAAGACTAGAGGGCCTAGGTCTAGATGGAATAAGGTATAGATGGGATAAAATAAGTCCCTTTCAGAAGAGACATAAGATCCCCTTTAGGCTAAAAAGAGCAAGGAAGTCCATTGTAAGGTAATGAGAGAAGATCTCCTGCTGTATACTGAGGGGGCCTTGTTGAATGGAAGAGCGAGAGGGTGCCTTCGATAGAGCTAGAAAGTAAGGTCCCAAGGTAAAGGTCTCTCAAATATCCAAAGATTCTCTAAAATTATATCACACGAGGAACGGGATATTTCCTTAATTTCCCGGGGAATATAATCAAAACAGCAATAATAGTAATCTTGCATCTAACCTTTACCCCTAAACAGTCTAATTTGATTGATTCGGAAGGCAAAACGATAGTAAAGTGTTTAAATCTGTTTTCAAATGTTGGTTACACCGGGGCGTCACAGTGATGGTTTAATAATCCCTCGGACACTACCTGGGATGATGGCCATTCATTAATTAGCCGGAAACTACAATCAAAATAAAAACAAACGAAAACGATTGTTTTGCGGATGTAAGAGCACATCAAAGGCTTACCTGAGAATACCTGTGACTGTCTCTTTGATGTTCTCCAATGAGTATTTAGCGCGACATTTATGAATTTTCATCGAGGACCAGTATTCTTTAATCTATGACCTATGTCGTAGTTCACCTTTGTTTTAGCAAAATCGCCTCGGGGTATGGTAAGAATATGGTATAGTGTATCCTAGGTGGCCTCGGTACCATTGCGATCGACGGGATGAGAAAATGAAGAAGAATGCATGTACCTTTAGGCCTAATTTTGGCGATAATTAAAGTTCCCACGCTAAAAAAAACTTTAAGAGGCTTACAACGTGTTAAGTTAAAAACATAGGAGATGTTTACGTAGGCTATCTAAAGCATCTTAATGATGTTTATAATGACTACATTTGTCGCATCTTTTGACCCGTCATCTTGGTCGCTCTACATGAGAATCGCAAATCAATATATTTCAAATCAATATATTTTGTAGAGAAAATTGAATCTTCACATTCTATCACTTTTTTATTTCAAAAATATCAACTGTACTCTGAGTTATGATTTATTGATTCGATTTTTTAACTTGAATAAGAGAATGTTAAAGGATGGTTTGATAGTGCAAGGATGTAGGAAGGTTACGCAAGCAGAATTTTCAAAACTATTCTTCATTTTGATTCCCCCGAATCGATGAAGATTTCACCATTGCCAAAATAGACTAAGAATTTAAAAATAAGAAATCGATACTTGGGCGTTGGTCTCAGAACTTGTTCAATAACTTTTGAATATTTAATTCAGTTAGCGTGAATTACAATTAATTATAATGAAATTGAAATATTATAGATATAAGAATGTTCTCTCAAAAGTTCATTTAAGATTAATGCAGATTTCTAAATGGCATCATAACTGTCTTTTACGTTTCATAGTTTGATAGACATCGAGTAATTGATTTGCACACAAGTGACACAAACTAGACGTGGCCTGCAGTTCAGACAATCATTCTTCAAAGGACTTCATTGATGCTTAAATTCAGTAAGAAGGGAAATACCTCCAGGGAAATACCCTTGGACCAAGGATGGTCCAGACAACACCCTAAGTTTTTACCATAGGTTTTGGCCCGATATAAAGGTGGCAGCAGCAGAATCCTATTAATCTTTTTTTCTCAACAAGGCTCGAACTCCGTGGCAGTGCTAGTCGTCATATTTCTCTTTAGACACTGCATGGAAGTTTGAAGCAGTCTTTAAAGAGAAATATTAATGAACACAGATTGATTACCAAGTGCCATCTTTATTTTAAAATTATATCTAGTGCCCTTAGCCTATGTTCTTTGCAGTCCGACACAAAGTTAGCCACTCAAGAAATGTAAAGATAACGTTACATCCAAAACGAATGTTGTGCTTTTTATAAATGAGCCTGGCCATAGGAAAACCGGTCTTATCACAAAAAATAAAATTGTGCTACAGAGCCAAAAATGTGCTCAACATTAAGAGGAAAATGTGCTGAATTCAAAGCTGTCTTTTGGTCTATATCTGCAAGAAAAATTGTTAAGACATAAGCGATGGCTTATTTGAAAGGTCTCTTAATGCTTTTTAAGATACTAGTAAACAAAAAATCAAAATATTGAAAAAATCTGTGATAAGACCCCCTTTCCTGTGGCCTGGCTCAAATGTAACCAAGTAAGAGCAAGCAACAATCACGTCGACGTACGTTGTATATACATACAAACAACAGAAGCAAAAATGTTTCATGTAAACAAATAGTAATACCCTTATGTAGTTGCAGCCAAATGACATCAAGTAACGTCAAATATTCATTGGCAAATGAACAATATCATCTTCTTTTCAAACAAACAACAGTGATGTCAATGTGCCATCCTTGGCCCAAGCGTAATTAATTGCATTACATGATCTGCTATGAAAGCAGTGAAGGACCGATCTTGAAGGATGTCATGCAATGTACCACACAAGCAACAGTATTTCAAGCAACAACTACATCGTAGTTCATATATCATACCTGGGAATGCTGGTGATTTTATTCCAAGATCATACAAGCTAGAGCATTCAAGAATCGGTTATGTCGTTGTGTCATACATCGACGTCTTAATTTCTCGAAACAACAGAAACATCGTTTTTCATACAAGCATCAGTCAATAGTTTTATAACCTACAAACAACAGAAAAATGTCTCAGCGCCATCAAGTCATATTCCAATAGGCTAAAGGGCGATAGAAAAAATGTTTAAATAAAGAGGGCATGACGATCAATCTTTGTTTATTCTCTTTCTGAGAGAGTAGGATTCTACTGCTGCTGCCATCTTTATATCAGCCCAAAACCATTATTTCTATTCATCATCATTCTGATCCTCATAGAATTTTTCTGTTTCACCTGAAACATCTTTGGACGGAGTCCTAATATGTAGGATCAGTAAAACGTTCACCCAAGCAACAGAGATCACATACATTTCAATAAGTAATTGAAGTCAGAAGGGTTGACAGAATTGATAGCTACATGTACAATTGGCCTACCAATCTATTCCTTATTCTAATTTATGTACTTACTAATAATAGTTGAACCAAATCAGTCAACCTGCATTTTATTATTACCTGGACAAATAAATGGATGGATGAAAGGACAAATAGACAGCTTCTCTATATCCAAACTTGAAATTTGTTTTGAAGGATAAAAATGGATTTTATCATTTTACCTTTAAACCCTTTATTTGACCTCACTTGATTATGATAATAATAAATGTTCATTACCAAAACCACACAAAATGAGGTGCTTTATTTCAGATATTAATCACTTTATTCTTAATTCGTTTTTTTCTGGTGTAACACATTGATGCACATAATTACAACATACTTGGTATGGATAACACATTTTACCCAACAAATGCTTATATCATTGTAATAAGAATAAATATGGCAATTAAATCCAATATTTTGTACACTTCAATTATTTAGATTGTTTCTTGCCCTTTGACATAGCTCTGATCTCCCTTTTGTCAATGACTTGTACTCCACTTCTGTATCTGCCAATTTGCCCATCAAGATATCCAATGTCATCTTTACTTTTCTTCTTTGTTTCTTTCTTCTTAGCCTTTGTGACACGTAATCCAAGCTTTCTATCCATTTCACGCTTCTCTTCCTCTTTGATTTTCTTTTCCTTGTTGATAACAAGGAGGTCTTTATAGTTCACATACTCATTTTTTGGAGGTTTTGCACCTAGCTTGAGTGCGAGTTCCCGCTTAGCGTCTTCTTTTTTGGTCCCATCAAGCCCTGTTATGACAAGTTGCAGAATCTCAGCTCTTGCACGTCCCATGTTTATTCCCTTTGGCTCTAAAATATCATCCTCTGAAGATGCTGACATAATTTTTTTCTTCTTTCCAAAATTTCGTTTCGCTGGATCATCAAAAACAATAACGTCAACGGCTGGTGCAGGTTTCACAACTGTTTTTTGTGACAGTACATTATTAGAGTCATTCGAAGTAGAGTCAACCTTTTTCTTATTTTTCTTTGCCTTTTTGCTGCTTTTCTTGCGAAGAGCTAAGTTCTTGTAGTATTCAGATATTTCATCTTTAGTTGTGCTGTCAATACCAAGTGACGCCTGTAATTCATTTAGATATTTTTGCTCTGTCTTCTTTGGGTCACTTTTTTGTACAGGCTTAGCAAGTTTCTGTTTGATAAGCTTATCAAATCTACTATTAGGTTTTGAATGTTTGGTTACTTTCCCTTTTGAAAAACTTGTCTTTTTGTCCACTTTTGACTTTACTTTCTGCTTTGCCTTTGGTTTTGATTTTTCAATTTTTTCTTCAGAAAAGTTATTCCCTTTTTGGGCACTCACAAAGTCTTCTAATCCTGGTTTCATATTTGCGATTGTTGTAGTAATGTATACTTTGAAGCTATAACTGAGTCACTGTGTGTTATTATAGTTTAGTTATGTGTTTATTTACCTAAAAAACTGGAAATGAGCGAAATGTTTTTCAACTCGACATTTTCATGTGTTTTCCATCATGACAAAATTTAACTTTCGGTTATAAAATAACTTGCTTATTAGAATGATTCGACCAATAATAACTTTTCACATGCAACTAGAAATATACATATTTGATATTATTTCTCATCAAGTAGTATCAAGTAGTTTGTTTCAGTGTACTGCTCTCTGTAATATATATACTTTTCCTTGTCAAAAAAATTCTAACGAGTGTCAGCTTTAGAACAAAATGAGACAAAAAAGATTGATAAATATCTAATTTTATTGCTAAATACCTGTTGATATACGCGATCATCGATGTTCAGCATTTGCAAGCATTTGAATTAGTCTACCAGAAATAAAGGGAACCGACTGGTGAATATGGTTGGCTTCTCCATAGGCCATCATACTGTAAGTTATGATTCGATTTTTGTCATGTTTTTTAATTTTTTCTTCAGCTTCATCCTTTTAGTTTAGTAGGCCTAGACTCGTTTCAGCTTTGTTCCTAGCTTCTATTGCTGTGGTCAACAGCTCAGTTGTTTGTGGGTTTTCAGCGTAACTCTGTAACGCAATTAGAAGATGAGTACTTTTCTTCTGTTTTTGCATTAATGTTGCAGTTTGTAGTACGGTAAGATTTGAATGAAAGTGTTGAAAGTCAAATGAAGTTATTCTTTCCAATATGGCGACTAGTCAACTGATCACGTGACCTTTTCTTCCGGAATATTTTCTCACTTTTCAATCATCGTTTTCACCACACGATGAATCAAAACAATGAAAAAAAATCTGTTATATTAAGATTAATAGGAGATCAATCGTTTCTGATAATTTTTTCTGTACTCCCGTACGGGAATATGAACGAATATATTGATTGAAAAATAGGTGTGAAAATCCCCTGTTAAACCTATGGGGGAAAACAAGGAAGTATGAATTTCTTCATTCGCGAGCTGCATCATGGGGAATATTTTGACCCTATTAAGAAAAATCTTTTGCGTCTCCTCTTTTGAAGAGGGAACAACGAATATGACAATTGGCAACTTTCAATTTCTAATGTGGTATGTAGTTTCAAACATAGATGTCAGTCTGATATTTTAAATGCAGCTTATATTCTAATATTTCAATTTCCAGGAAATTCTTCCAGATTACATAATGTTTAATCATGACAGTTTCAATTTCGGTGTCACTCCATAGTTTCAACATGGAATGAAGAGGGGTCAGTTATTGCAGTTATGTCTTGGGTTCTTGTTTTGGAATCCCAATCTTGTAAACAAACTGTGGGAAAAGGTCATATTATTGAAAAAGTTTAAGTATTTTTGATGTTTTAGCCAAAAATTGCACGAGAAGGGAAATATTGCTGGCGATTTTCTATGAGTGTTCTGTCGTGTACTGGTAACTTACCACATTTGTTAGAATCAATACATTTTGCAATGTTGTCTTGTAAAATATCAAATTCTGGTTTTCTCCAGATTTTGAGAAAATTAGACTCAGTCAAAGTAGACTATTATTGGGATTTGATAACATTAGATATTGTGATCAATACAAGTATCATAATATGCAAGGATTGCTTGCATTAATTTGTTAGTTACATTTTAACATGATATGATGAGGTTTAATTAAAGGAGCTGTGCAAATGAATCACATATTTGGACTTTGTCAATTTTTTAATTTTTACTTCCTTGTCAGCCATGTATTGTTCTTTTAAGGGTAACCAATCAAATCAAACAACATTACACAAACTACATTTATACAGTTACATTTATACAGTCACATTAATCTACAAAGATATTGTGTTTTGATGGTTGCGATGTTATAGATTTCTTTTCTTAAAGCACATTTCAATGAAATGCAGGACTTCCTCCATATTTGAACATTATATTGCTGCCATATTTTTAAGTCCATTATTGATAAACATAGTTGTTTGTTTAAGCAGTTAATGGAAAGGAGTATGTATAGACACCAGTTTTAGACCATTAAGAAGGCCTCTTTACATAACATGTGTTTTTTGATTTTTCAGATTAAACAATCGGCATCATCAGTTCAGATTGTTGGGTTTTAAAGGCTCTGTAGATTGAAGAGAGTAATTATAAGCCCAATGGTTCCCCTCTTGGAAACTACACAGAAAAAGAAGCTGCATTGAGACCAACTTGAGAAAATTGGTTTAAAATGTAAGGAAAAAGCTGTAATAGCCAAAAATAGATGGTGCCACAAAACATAATTAAGCCTCAATTGATTAGTCATAAGAAAAACTATGTTCGAGAAATGGTGCATATAAGGCTTTAAAAATCTAATAAGGTCATTGGCTCAAAATGTGCATCAAGCCCTCAACATTTTAAATATACATGTACATGAGTTTGTAATTAAAACTTTTGAAATGTGTTGTCGATATTTCCATTGATAAAGTGAAGATCGATTTTCGATTTATTAATTGATAAATCCAAATTTAGTGATCTTTTGTCAAGAATATTAAAATGTTGATATAAAATTGAAATATTTTTCAGAACCAGCAGAGTAACCTGTCTTATTGAGAGGACTTCAATAGATGTGTATATTGACTCTCTAGCTGGCAGAGTGCTGGTCTGTACTAACCCGCCTTTGACTTGTTTTCTTCTGGAGACATAGTTGCGTAAGTATGTTATGATTTAACTTGAAATTGTTATCCCATCGAACGGGTAGTTGGCTAGTAGGCGGCCATTTATCAAAATGGCCGCCTACATCTACATGTAGGTGTGTGAAATTTTGTTGAAATTTTATTTGTGTCTACTAAGAAGCATATTACCCTTTTTGATGATGATTTGGGTCTTGAGCAACCATTTTTAAAATGGTGGCCAGTTTATGTGTGTTCTTTTATGATTTTTGCTATACTTTGTTTGTAAAAATGCCAGCCATGGCTGTTCGATGGGATTTGCTACGCTTTTTGGTTTTATGTTGTCTAGTTTATTCTTAGAGCTGTGGGATGTCTATTTGAAATGTCAAATCACTTTTAATTTACACAAATTCTACAATTTTGATAACAGTACCATATTAACCAGAAATGATTGTCTGATTGATCATCAAAAACATTGATTGCTTTTTGACCAATCAGAATTAAAGATTATAACTGAAGTATTTGAGAATAATAATCTTGCAACTGGTGTAGGAAATTGTACAAACAGTATGATTAGATAGAGAGCAACTCCATTTCATATTTTTCAGATGTGACAGAAATGAATTTTCATTCTAAGCATATATACAATCTCAACAAATTGATATAGTTGCTGTATATCTTGGTTTGGAGTATAACTTCAGTAAGTATTCAGTTCAACTAATTAAGAAATATAGACTGAAGAGCAGGGGTAATATTGTTGAATACATCCCGCAGGGCTAGGCACAAACGTTTTCTGTACCCTAAGGGGTGTATTAGAGGATATTACACCTGCTCTGAGGTTTATATTACGATTCAAACATGAAAACTCACCAAAATGTTTCGAATATTCATTATGGTCCGCGATTACTACGGTCCGCCATTATGACGTCACACATTACACATATTACCAGGGGCATTGTTCACGAATATACCCCGGGTGAAATGTTGACTTTGTTCACAGTTTATAGAAGGCGTGAATACAGTCATGTTCGAATCCATGATTATAAACTTTTAAAAGTTCCTTGAACTATATGTTTATTGTGTTAGCTGTTCCAATGTTTAAACATTACTTCAATAGATGTATCTGTTTTAAAACTATCTGTTCTTTGAAATATTATAAAATACTCTTTAAATATGTGTTAAGTTCTTATCTTTCTCGTGAGAGAACACTGGTAAAGGAATATCATCTCTGTATACATTTTTATTCAGCTTCCTTCCCATATGCAGTATTGTCGGACTGTTGCAAGGCTTCAACTGCTGTCTGCTGCAAAAATATCTTGGGTAAGTGTTCTGATAATTTGGAATTATTTCATCAAAAATTCGAAATCTGGAATGTATGTTGAATTGTTTCGGAGGTATGAGTTTCTGAATTCTGTGAAAATGAGAGAAATAACAATTTTGGGGTATTTTGATATGGGGTGTTAAGCCATAGGGTTCTTTTGAAGAATGAATACAAACTTTTTCTAATTTTTATGAAAATCTCAAAATTTTGTTGAAACCTACAAATTTTTTGCTATGTTTTAAGATTTTATTAAGAGAGGCAAAGTTTCTTGTTGCTACTGTAGATTGGGTTAATTTGGCGCCCGCTTTAATTTGGCGAATTTGGCGAAATTAAAAAATTTAGAATGAATCCCCTTGAATTATCCAGGGTATTTCGTCCAGTGTATTTAGGTCACTTCCGGTTTAGTGAACATAGCCAAACATGCCCATTTACATGGTAATTCGCAAACATTGCGTTAGTTTAACATTTTTTTGCATATCTGCCAAATTACATAGCCGCCAATATGCCAAAAATGGCAAAATCGCCAAATTAAGTAGCGCCAAATTAACCCAATCTACAGTATTAGAGGAAAGTAAACCTTCTAAAACCACCAATATTTTGGGTCACCCTGTCAGTCAAGAAGAACATTTTATTGCCTTTCAGGAGTGACTGATGAAAGGCACTATATAGAATGGAACTCTTCAACAAAGAGGAATTGTAAGTACAGGGGCTTTTAATCATCAGTTGCTGAACACTCATTTGGCTGTGGACATTGGACATTTTAATTGACTAAAAGAAGACTATAACTCTGAACAATGGATAGTTCAAATGTTGGCTTCAAGACTAAGGAGATGGAGTGTATAAAATGTGCAGTGACTTTAAACAGTGTTTCTGAATACAGTGATCATTATAGAAAATTCCATGCAGGGTTAGATCCTCATAGTTGTAGTATGTGTGATATCCATCTGCCAACTGTTAGTGAGTTTCAAAAACATATGCAGCAACATTATAATAAGACACCCGTCTCCACTGCAGACCTGGATATCCAGGCACCTAGCACAGGGGATATCCAGGCTCAGCAAAATGAGCAAGGTTCCAATTTTAGTGTAAGCACTCCTATCCATAGTAAAAGATCAGCATTTCTCCAAGCTTCAAAGCGTGTTAAAGATATATCTATGGAGTATAATCAATCAGGCCAGTCAGAAGATTCTAGCCCAGATGATCAAAGTGAATATGAAGAATCTGACAATTCTGGTTCCAGTAGAGGGAATCGTCAACTAAAACACATTCTTAATCGCCCAATTAAAATGACGATCTCAAAGGAATCACCAATATCATCATTCCTCTGCAATAAATGTCAGTCAGCTCAACCAAGTGTGGAGATGGCAAAGTTATGTTGTGCTGTGGGCCCATTTAAATGCTTTGTTTGTCTCCTACCAATGGAAAGCAAAACAACATGCATGAACCACCTGAGGGATCGACATCAAATAAAAACTGTCTTTCAATGTTACAATGATGTTGTTTTAAATAAACAACCAAACAATGATAAACAGAAAATTCAGTTTGAGAAAAAAGAAAAAGATAAGTCCAGTGTTGAACCAGCATTCGGGCAAATGAATTTGCACAAAGATGCTTGGTCTGAAAAAATTAACAATGTGGGAAATATTGTAATACAATGTCGAATCTGTAATGTAACCGTACCAACTATGGATGCATTCACTAAGCATTTCGATGATCATACTGTCACAATGAATGGTCTGACTGGGTTTCAATGTAAGATTTGTTTCGAAATTATATATCGTCTTTCTAATTTTCTAAAACACAATCGTGAACATTTTAGCCAGAGTCAGTATCCCGAGAAAATCGAAAAAATCTCCAATGAACCAGATGAGGATAATCCTGTTGAAATTACTGATACTGATGTCACAGTAAAATCTGAACCTATTGAGGAGATACCTCAGCCAGACTCTGCCTATAGAACACCATGTTTTAAATGCGAACAATGTCAAACATTGCAGCCTAGCTATGAAATGGCTATGTTGTGTTGTCATACTGGGAATGAATTCCCATGCTACCATTGTGAAAAGGTAATAATCAATAGAGCTGGGTTGATCAGTCACTATGCACACAAGCATAATGTCAAAACATCATTCCTACAATCAAAGCGAGTTGGGATAAATAAAATCGAACTAAATAGAGACAGACCAGAAAATGACAAAAACTGGCTGTTTTTTCAGGATAAATGCCATAAAATTGATGCAATAAACAAAGGAAGACCATCAGTGCATTTTAAATGTAAATTATGTAATCACAAAGCATTCTCTCCCCATACCTTCAAAATGCATTATCGCAATACCCATCGGCCAGATCAAAATCAGCATAGCATAAAGCTGAAAACTGAAAAAGATGCTCCTAAATCAACTGGATATTATACATTTGAAGAATTTTGCCAAGACACTAGTAAATGCACAATGATTCCAACCACAAGTAAATGTGGAAAAGCTAAAGTACACTATCATTGTAAATTGTGCAATATAACGCGGAATTATACATGCTTATTTAAGAAGCATTTTGTTACTAATCATAGGAGCATGGTCTCTACTAAAACTCATGCTAACTCTCAGACTAGTCCCTCTTATAAGCCCTCTAAATCTAGAACTAAAAGAATCAATTCCAGGCTTAGAGTGGAAAACATGTATAACAAAGTTCTCAAGACAACAAAAGTTAAAAACAGAACTCAAGAGTACTATGAATGTAGAATTTGTTTGAAACAAATACGCAAATCTGGTGATCTTAAAAGACATCTTCGGAAACATAAAGAGGGAAAGCCTATAATAAAGAAGGAAAAACTCAAAACAATCCAATCAGCACCTATAAAAATAGATAGTGTACATGATAAATATCCAGAAGACAAATATACTGTTGATGGTTTAGAAAGTGAATCATACATTAAACATGATGATATTCCAAATGATATGCCTAGCTTCAGTTGCGATAAATGTGAAAGAAAGCACCCTTCTCATGAGAAAGCTGTTCTGTGTTGTGAAACGGGGTGTCTGACATGTCCTGTTTGTCAAGAGATGTACACGGGGAAAGTTGCGATGAATCGGCATCTTGTTAATGCCCATAACATTCTCACAAGATGGCCAGATAAAAAACATTCAAACGAAGAAGATCTAGGTACTTACTCCCTTGTAATGCACAAAAGTAAACCAGCTTTTCAATGTAAATTGTGCCAAAGAACATGTTTCAGTCTTAAAACATTCAATTTGCATCATAAATGGGTACATGGAAAAGGTAAAACATCTGAACCACTTTCGGTGAGGACTAGTCCAACTTTTGATGATACCAAACAGGAAAAATTGGATAACACACAGGAGGGACGCAATACAACAGAAAGTCAAAGTAAAGTTATAGTAGAGAATGAGCCAGAAGAGGAGGAAAGTACTGAAATACTTGACCAAGATGATACTGAAATGGAAGCAGAAATGGAGGAAAAAAGTGACAAAGACTGGATGCCTAGTGATGGAGAACATGTTGAATCTAAAAGTGAAGGTGGCAATGATAGGAATTATAGATATACTATAAAAGTAAGAAACTCAGCAAAGAGTGCGAAAGACAAAATATTCAACGATTCAACCAGGGGAAGAAAGAGGAAGTGGATTGATAAGACATCTTGTCAGAAATGTGATCTAACTTTTGAGTTGCAGAGTGACCTAAAGACTCACATTAACTTACACAATAGTTATAAGCTATGCGTTTACTGTAACTGTATCAGAAAAAATATTTATCATCATGTCAGTAAGGCACACAGCAATAAACTGAGTGAATGGAAGAACCTGTACCAGAAAAACAGTGATAAGGAGGCAGTTGTAGTTCCACCAGATGTGAGTCAGATTGTGTGCAGTATTTGTGCTAAAGCATTCACCGATCCATACAAATTCAGCCATCATGTACACATGCACAAAGATTTAACTCAATGTGTACACTGTAAGAAAATGGTGAGGCCAAATAAGATAAGCTACCATGCTAGAAAGCTTTGCAAAAAGTATCAATATCAGAATTACGGATACAAATTGTCAAACAACTCGAAACAAAACATGACTTTACAACATAGAAGTACTACTAAAATTACAGTCCAGGCCCATTGCAAGAAATGCGGGACTTACTTTTTAAATATGGCTGAACTTGAGCATCACTATAAGAACAACACGCTGTGCTTCCAAAAAACAGGTGCTCCCCAAGTGGGTAAACAGTTCTCTAATGTCACTCAAGATGCAAAGGTTCATCGTAAAAAGGCCAAAAAAATTAAGCAAGATCATAGGGTCCAATGTAAGATTTGCTTCAAAGTGTTCGACAACAGATCCGGCCTTTCAGCGCATTCTACATCCCACTTTGAGAAAAGGAAATGTGATTTCTGTCCAAGGATGCTTCAAGCAGGAATGGAAAGACACATTACAAGGTTCCACAAATCCAAACTCCCCGAGTGGAGAATGCGACATTTCCCTAAATTATGGAAAGGGAAATATATCAAAATTAAATTTACTTATAAAGATGGTAGGATTGGATATAGATGGCGCCTAAAGACCACTCAAGTACCAAACGGAGAACCTCCAGAAGCTATTGATGATATATCAGGTCTTAATAATGTAGAAACATCAAATCTTGTACCTCTTCAATCTCAATTTGACACCAGACTTCAGTGTGATATCCAAGAAGAAAGACCAGCTGTCCATGAAACCCTCATTGAGCCTTACTCTCATATCAGCCAGATATCCAGTATACAGAGTTCAGCTGAAGATCAACAATCAGAGGAAAATGACGAATACTCAGATGTTGCGCCAAAGGACAAAAATGATGAAATGTTTGAGGAGATAAAAATAGAATTGAATAAAGAATTTGAAGAGGAAGATGATGAGTTTCAACCAATGATTATCAGTGTCACTTCTGTTAAGGATCACAATGAGCAGGTCAGCAATGAAGGTGATATAGAAGGTATATCTACAGAACAATGTAATTCTCCCAGCATTGATTATCTCCCAAGTAACTCTGAAATGACCAATAAGGATAGTACCACCATTGAACAGATATTCATCAATCAAGATGATACAAACAAACCCTTGAACGCTGAAGCAAGTAAAGCAATAAGTACTAGTTTAACTAATGGTGAATTAAACCATGATCCAAACAACACACCAAGAGAACAATTCAAGACAATAGCTCAGATACTTGAAAATGTCAATGATGATTCTACCTTGAAGAGTATGACTGAAACAGACGATAGTAGATCAACTGATGGCAAGAAAGTAAAGAATGGAGATAACATAACTAATTACAATAAATCAGTTGTTATCAACAACATAACAGGACAAGAGTTCAACACACATACTAATTTGATATCAAATACAGATACAGAAATTGATAGAAATAAAGTAATTAATCTCAATGATTCTGAGGTTATGAATAATATTTACTTTGAAAAGTCAGAGAGGCTTGCAAAACCTCTCACTGGGAATGGAACGATAAGTCATTGTAAAGTTATTGCTGAAAATAAACAAGGAAATGAACATTCGAGGGCGACGCTTGAAGTGTCAAGCGACTCGATACTTGCTCAACACAATGGGGCCTTGTATGAGTGCAAATTATGCAAGATCATCTTTTTGAATGAAACCGTTCACTGGCAACATATGTCAACCCATGCTATGAGTGGTCAACCATTTGCATGTAACCATTGTAAGAATACATTTACAAATGCAATTGATTTCCATGCACACTTCATATCAAAGTACCAAAAACATTTGTAAATGTATTCATTTATTTCTAAGCGAGACTTAAGCTTTGATGGATTATAGAATATCGCTTTGGTAGACCCAAACAAATTCAAAATGAATCTACAGACTACAGTCTTCTCCACAGGAGTTTTTCTCAAGTGGGTGCAAAATTCTCATTTTGAAAAAAATTGGTCAAAAATATTCCTTTTATTCATGATTTTTCTCATTTTAAAGTGGGTGCCAATGGATATTCACATGGGTGCAAGCCTGTTTTTAATACCTCTGGTCGGTGCTACGCCCACTTGCTTTAATGTTGGGGAGATCACTGAATTTCATTTATAACCCTACTATCACACCAAACTAGTTCTCACTACGTTCTCAAAAACGGGCTTCAACTGTGTACGAACGGACTGGACCTACTAAGAACCGTTTGGGATCTATTAACAAACTTCATCGAACGTACTCGAACGGGTAGGTCCTCTAGAACTTAGACAATGCTCAAAATGTTCTCGTGGTCGTCACGTTCTACAATTAGAACGAGTGACAACGTACTAACGACGAGCTGGACGTACTACGAACGGAACCGTCGTACTTCAATCCTACTAGGGACGTTTTAACAACGAGTTGAATTGTCCGAGGACGCGTTGAGAACGAGGAAGAACTAATTGCAAACGGATTTAAACTGATTGAGAACGTATTTAACACTGCTTATGAACGAGTTAGCAAAAATGTAGCTATCACACCAAACAAGTTGCCACTGCATTCTTCAAAACTGTGTGCGAACGGAATGAACGTAGCTGCAACTTTCTAAGGTCTATTTACGAACTTTATGATCGTTCTCAGACGGGAATATGATTTTAGAATTTTGAATCGATTCAAAATTCGATGGCGACCATAACGTTCTGTAATCAGGTCATGTTGACCTTCTAGACTAAGGGACGCGTTCTACTACGTTGCACACCGACGTGGTGCGACCTGAACGAACTGCGAACGAGAAGGACGTATTGAAAACTGTCTAAGAACGAAGAAGCTAATTATTTCAGACATATTTCCCGACCACAGCCAGATTGAGCCCGTTTTACGACGTTTTCGTAGGACTGGCAAGAACGGGTAAGAACGAGTTTGGTGTGATAGGGGGGTTAACAAGTACATGTTGAAACCTATTAACCCCTCAGACTACAGATATTGAAGTGCTATAAGTGATCAATTCATGAAATGTGAAACTTGCACCAGATTCTCAACTTATGTTTTCACACCTCTGTACATGTTGAGACCTATTAATCTCTCAGACTGCAGATATTGAAGTGCTATAAGTGATCAATTCATGAAATGTGAAACTTGCACCAGATTCTCAACTTATGTTTTCACACCTCTGTACATGTTGAGACCTATTAATCTCTCAGACTACAGATATTGAAGTGCTATAAGTGATCAATTTATGTAATGTGAAACTTGCACCAGATTCTCATCTTATGTTCACACCTCTGTACATGTTGAGACCTATTAATCTCTCAGACTGCAGATATTGAAGTGCTATAAGTGATCAATTCATGAAATGTGAAACTTGCACCAGATTCTCATCTTATGTTCACACCTCTGTACATGTTGAGACCTATTAATCTCTCAGACTACAGATATTGAAGTGCCATAAGTGATCAATTCATGAAATGTGAAACTTGCACCAGATTCTCAACTTATGTTTTCACACCTCTGTACATGTTGAGACCTATTAATCTCTCAGACTACAGATATTGAAGTGCTATAAGTGATCAATTTATGTAATGTGAAACTTGCACCAGATTCTCATCTTATGTTCACACCTCTGTACATGTTGAGATCTATTAATCTCTCAGACTGCAGATATTGAAGTGCTATAAGTGATCAATTTATGTAATGTGAAACTTGCACCAGATTCTCAACTTATGTTTTCACACCTCTGTACATGTTGAGATCTATTAATCTCTCAGACTGCAGATATTGAAGTGCTATAAGTGATCAATTTATGTAATGTGAAACTTGCACCAGATTCACACCTCTGGACTGGTGCCTATATATTATACATGTGTTCATATGTGTATGTACTATACAGTAAAACCTGTGTATATTGAACATTTTTTCAGAGAAAAAACATTCAGTTTTGGTACCTGTAGGTGTTCATTACAGGTAGGATAATTTACACAGAAGGCAATAGGGTATGTGCAGCAAAAGGGTGTCCACTAGGGACAGGTGTTCATTAGAGAGAGGTGTTCACTATAAAGATAGGTTTTGTATTTTGTATAATCAATAAAAGGAGAAAAAAAGTAAAAGGGGGTATTTATCTCAGAGAGATGATTTAGACAGTTGGGCAGATGGGTTTGATAAACACTGGAGTGTGAAAAAGTGTTCATTAATGTACAGATGTATTCATCTTAGTGATTCTTGTAGTTGCAAAATTTTAGTGTACATAGTACTGTGTCCTTTTAGTAGAAATCATAATTGCATGATATACTAGTTACAACATATTTTATTTTATAAATTATTTTAGTGCTGAATCAAGATTTTATTGGTTGAGGAAAAGCATGTAATGTTAATTCCTAGTAGTTTAACCGTATATTTTGATACCCAATTTTGTACATATTGCATTAACAATGCCATAAATCCACATTGAGCCATAGGAAAAGCTTTATTTTGGATATGCTTTTTAAAAGGAAAAGAAAATAACTGAATGTTAAGAGTGACTGACTGTTGATATTTTGTATTATATTACATGATCAGTTTGAGAACGAATGTTATACTTGCCTAAATGTAAATTGCTTGAAACAGTTTACTCATTTACTCATTCAATTCTGGATAATAATACACATGCTTATTGAAATATACCATTACCAGTAGTAATAGTAATAATAGTAATCACCAATCAAGAACATTAAACATTCATTTTAATACTTGGGTCAGTCAAAAAGTTCTGTTTATTTATCTCTAACTTTGTCATTTTGAGGATTTACTTTTTGATATTTGGTACATCTATAGAACATATATTTGTGCAACTATTGGCTAAATATTGTATCTCAACTATGATTGGTTATTGAATTATGGTTGCTATGGTAACAGAATTGTGGGGTACACGGTTCAGCTAAAAAATGTCATATTTTTAATGTCACATTAATTTCTTTTGGCATCAATTCATTGAACAGTTTTTCATTTTAAAATATCAGATTGTGCAAATTGACAGGTTTTGATGCCAATTCTATTGTCTTGAAGACATCACAGTCAAGGAAATATTCAATTGTGACAATTTTCAGCTAACATAGGTGATTTTCAGGATGAAAAAGTAAAAAAGGGATTTTGAGAAAAAATCATGTCAAATATTGATTCTCCTAGAAGTTGTTAAAGTGGAAGCAAAGAAACTTGATACAGTGTATGGTAGAAAACAGGAAAACACTACAAGAGGTGCTTTTGGACAGGATGCTCCAAGATATAATACTGTCTGTATATGGTACAATGACTTCTTGTCTGGAAAAGGGATAAACTGTCTGATTCAGCACGAACTGGCCGGCCCAAGAGTTCTGTGAATGAGGACAATGCTGAGAAAATACATGAGTTGATTGAGCAAGATAGGCACATTTCACTGGATGAAATTAGTTCCATTCTGAATATTTCTCATGGCTCTTGTCATACAATCATCACTAAAGTATTGAAAAAGTGTTACGTAGCCTCAAAATGGGTTCCAAGATTCCTCACTCAAGAACAGAAGCAAGAAAGAATTGATGTCTCGAGGCAGTTTCTTGATGAATATGGACAATGGTCGTCCCCATACAAGTAATGTTGCCAAGACTGCCTCAGAAGACCTCCAATGGAGCAGGATTCCACAAGCCCCATACTCCCCAGACACATCTCCATGTGACTTTTACCTCTTCAGCAATCTAAAGAGGGGTCTTCGATTCCGATTTGATTCCGATGGGGCTCTGCAGGCAGCAGTGCGCAGACGTTTAAATGAATTGTCCGCTAGTGGTTTCAAAGGTGTCTTCAGAGACTGGGTAGAAAGGCACCGAAAGGTCATTGCTGCAGGGGGCTCCTATTTTGAAGGCTAAATAACTAAATTAAACTTAGATATGACATCGGGGACTTAGTTAGAAAGGAGTTTTTAAATATTAAGACAGTTTAAAGTATATTTCATGTAATATAACAGTGTATGAAAATCAATAAAATTGGGTTGAACCGAGAACATCGTCCTTCTGTTACCATAGCAACCATTTTTCAGTAACCAATGATAGTTGAGATACAATATTTAGTCAATATTAGCACAAATGTATGTTCTGTACATGTACCAAATATCAAGAAACAATTCTTCAAAATGACAAAGTTAGAGATAAATAAACAGAACTTTTTGACTGACCTAAGTACATAATCATCCTCCTAAGCAGGTGGCCAGAATCCGTACCTCCTATCTACCGTATTCTGGATTTTGAAGCCCTGTGATCGGAGGATGATACATAATACACTCAAATCAATTTTGCATTTCTACAGGGTGGTCCAGAAGTAAGATCAAAGATGTTGCCATTTCAATGCTATCAATTATCTTGAAATGGTGCAGATGTCCCATACACATGACTGAGTAACTATCTCAGATAATTCAACTTTTTGATTGGTCGATATCAGTGTCATTATTGTAACCAATACAACGTCACGCTGCACAAACTATTTAATATAGTAGAAAAAATGAATATGTTCATAAATATGCTCTAGTAATACTATCTGGATCACCCTGTAGAAATGCAAAATTGTTGCGAGTAATTTTACTGCTTACATAATTTCATTATATACAGAGAATAGAGAGTAATTGTATTACACATTTTGGTAGATATATTAGTAAGATATTGATCTAAAATAATATAGATTTCTTTGATCAATGCATTACAGATATTGGAAAAATGTGGGAGTACTAGAAAATATAGCAAAAATCTTGTCCAATCAAGACTTATAATGTTGTGTTAGTCTAATAGTAATAATGGAATATAGAGTACATGTGATGTATAGTAGTTGAAACTTATAAAATAAGGTATCTCTCATTGTTGCATTTCGCCCCATATCAACAGTAAATTGGGATGTGGGCTAATAAATTTTTATTATACAATAATGCTTTGTATGTTACAATATTATTTATTTACTCATTGAATAAGCCCCTAGGTTATAGACCTCCCCTTTGCAGTATTTACTTGCTCGATTGAGTGGTTAAAATGGAAATTGTTTTAATTAAGTCCCTGGAAAAACGGATCCGAGGAGGAGCAATAATCCCATAATCCATGGGGTTCAAAATATCACAAGTACAAGATCTCTCATAAATGTTCATTCCTCAGTCACATTTGATCTACGACAACCGTAAGGTGGCCGTAGCTTCCCAAAATCGAAATTAATATGCAGCAGTAAATATATAGGGATAAGCAGTAAAATGTACATCGATTTTGTGAAGCTACGGCCGCCGTAGAGCAAATGTAACTGAGGCTTAACCTCCCTAGTGAATGAACTTATGAAGAGAGCAATGTACAAATGACAATGTAATATTTGAGGCGAGATGACAAAATTTCCAAACTGTAATATTGAGTTAACATTGTGTTTTGAAAATTAAATACACTTGGGACAACACAAAATACGTATAAGCCAGTCAAATTGAGTAATTACAAAGGAGTTCTTCAAGGTTCATTTCTGACACCATTCTCATTTTATATATTTACAAATTTGTACATAAGTAGCCCTTCAATACTGTTTTATAATTTAGAATTTACATGTGGTAATGTCCAACAAATTCAGTTTTTGTATATGACTGTAGCCCAACGAGCAAGTTGTGCAAAGATTTATTCATGTATTTACCACGTTTCTACAACTAGAATACTACTCATATATTATACATCAGTGTGAGACAAAAAGGCAACCCAAACAAATATCAATAGCTCACGAGGTGACAGCTTTAAATCAGGATGACGTGTCAGTGGCGTAGCAAGGAAGAAAAAAGCGATTGCCTGCACGTCTGCCTCATCCTGGCTACGCTAGAGCGTGTACGCGTATGTATTTGACGTCCAGTCTTTACACCATGCTCTTTTCATTCGTCAATTCGATAATTAAGTACTTACAGCTCGAGGAAGGGAGGTTATCTGTGTGTTATCATGTTCGGATTCTGTAGATCTGCGACATCGCTCAAGTCTTTTTATAATATTTTCGCGTTCACCACGATATAAATGTTCGACATACTTGGCTTTATTTCGGTTCCCCAGCTTACGTCTTTATTACAAAATTTAAGTATGAGCGGTGGCAAAATTCACGGTGACTATCCAGGCCCCGTATATCGTGAGCAAGTTCCCGCTGACATCGTGAGCAATGAGCTCATGTTAGAAGCGGGTCCTTGAGAGAAATGATAAAATATAGTTATAGTTGAAGAATGTCTTTGCCCTGCAATTGAAATAGCCATTGTACAATGAAATAAAGTTGTACTGAGTTTCACTTCCTAAAGTTTTATAGAAAATTATATATTTCAATTTTATCATATCTCTCAAGGCCCCGCTTCTAACATTAGCTGATTGCTCGCGATATCAGCGGGGCCTGGATAGTCCTCGTGAAATTGGTACCCCAACAGATCATTCTCGTAGAACGAACTATAATTTGGTACACAAGGCTAGAATAACATTCAAATCTAAAACATGAAGAAAAATACTTTGATTGCCAACAAAACCAGAATGGAAGATGCAACAATGGAGTTCCCATTTCACCTCAAACTTACAGAAAGTCAAAGTAATATCAAAAGCATGGCAATGAGGATCAAAGAAAGGCCTTTTCAAACTCTTCATATACTAGGTAAAAGCAGACTTAGTGCATGTAAACTAATTTTGAAACAAAACACTAAATAGTTCACATGTTAGAATGGATGTTTTTAAATGATAGAAAAGGAGGATCTCACAAATATCTTTGGGAGACCTCTTGGCAATGTCTAGATCAACTCACAATCTTTTTATACTTAAAAGGACAATGATCTGCGGGATTCAGAATATTTTTTAGCTTTCGCAATCAAGCTTTCATCTCATATTTTTTCTTTCCAAATGTAAAATATGAGATCCAACCACGATTTTATTAATTTCGTCATTCAGAATTTAATGCCTTTCCCCTGAGTTTATTACACCTGAATGTAGTCTTATACGAGTAGACCTAAACTTCATTATTCAAGTTAAGGCAAAACGTGACTATGTTTAGTGACGCAAATTGAAGTTTCAATAGACCCTTCAAAATGATAAAACATCTCATCTTTGACAGTTTATAAAACAGGGGTTCATTAGTATGTTAAATGATCTTATTGCCACTAAACTTCTATTTGGAAACTGTACAAGAGGTCTTGGTGTCATATATAAGATTGCATGTGTTGTCCCACTTTGAGACATCAATTTTCAAGAAACATTTTAAGTTGTAAAACAGAAAGTTGTGATGCGTATCAGAATGATGCAGTAGTTCAGGTTGTTTTCAACTAGGGATTGAAGGACAACATGCCTGTTCGTTCTACATATCGAGTATTTACACAAGTAAAACATGAAATAAAAACAATACAGGCGCACATAGATATCACAACTTGAAAGCTTCAAAGTTCAGAGAATTCATACAACGTCAACACTACATGATGCTTTCAAATATATATTAAAACTGACAAAACTTTATTTATTTGCTGCTTAGAAGGACATGCTGGTTATGAAAGAACAAAACCTTTGTAATTTCACACTGGACGAACCCTCTTAAAGGACACCTACAGAAACAATAAATCCAGGTCAATTTTAACTGCAGATCGAATGCTGGTTTAAATCAAAAAGCAAAATGGCACTGCTTAGACGTATCTCAAATATGGTCGGAAGAAGTTCAAAATATTATAAAGCAAATAGTGGACTGCAAAAACTGAAGTATTCCGAAGGCGTAAAACAAGCACACAAAGAACAAAATTCGAATATTTTGTTTGCTATGGTGAGTCTGTCTTCGAGCACGGCAATCATAGAAAGGTTAAAAATGATATTTGCTCTCAAAACCACGCATAGTGTGATTGTCATTAGCGTACTATTCAAACTTGGTCCAGCTAGTATACTTTAATTTGTTATACAATTACAAAACAGACTTAATAGAAGTAACATTAATCTTGCTTAAAAGACCCTGTACTCCCCCTCCCCCTTCATCCTTCTCTCTGTATATTGCCAGGTAAAGAGAGTGAATGTGGGGGGGGGGGGGTGGATACAGTCTTTGAGCAAGACTAAAGTAACATCAGAACACAATCATTTGTTTACTTTGATAATTTCAGCAAACTGTTTTTCCAAAACAGCTGTAAAAGTGCATTTGGTATTCACCTAATCTTATTATGCAATTCTCATTGATAGAATTTGAGCTGGGTGTTGTTCAAATTGTCCGAACTCAGTACCTGCATTCTTTATTATTAGAATTCGATTTTTCTTTATTCAGAATTGGGAAGATGTTGCACCAATAAGACATGCAATGAAAATCAAAAGTGGTGATAGAATCTTCACGATTGCATCATGTGGTGCCAATGCTATGACCCTTCTACTCGATGATCCCGCTGAAGTTGTGGCCCTTGATTTATCAATTCCACAGTTGCACATGGCAAAGTTACAAGCAGCTTGCGTCAAACATCTGTCATACCAAGAATTTATTGACTTTGCTGGAGTTGACAGAGAAAATGTTAAACCAGAGAAACGTGTCCGAATATATAAAGAAATCAGGAAAGCACTGGCACCAGATGCAAGAGAGTTTTGGGACTCAATGAAATCTGAAATAGAGTTTGGCGTTATACATTGTGGAACACAGGAAACAATCTTTAGAAATGCAGCCGAGGATATGGTGCATGTTGCACTTGATAAACGTGATATCAAAACATTTCTGGGAATGGGGGATAATATTGAGGAACAGGCCAATTTCTTTGAAGAAGTGATTAACACAAAACACTGGAGAAAAGCAATGTATAGGAGGGCCTACTATCAGATGAAGGATTTCGATTATTCCATCATACCAGATGTGGACTATGGAACATTATTCTACCGAAGAATGGTAGACATTTATAAGTCCATTCCGATGAAGGAAAATCATTTTGCTGAATACTTTTTCACTGGCGGATACTCTGGGAAATACAAGCTCAGAGAATATCTCCAAGAGGAGAACTTTACAACGCTGAAAGATCGCATTGGACGTATGCAGTGGGTCCATGGAGAACTCACCGATTGGCTTGCCAAGTACCCAAGTACTCAACAACCAAAGTTTGATGGCATCTGTGTATCCAACATAGCAGATTGGTTGTCCCTAGCCAACCACAATGCAGCAATTGAATCAGCTGCTAAAATCAGCAATCCGGGTGGAAGAATTGTGTTTTGGAATTTGAAAGGAATGCCGAAATACTGGCCAAGTGAAATGATCGATAAGACCATTAAGATTGAACATGATTTAGAAATTTCTGCATCACTACTAGATCGTTCTCCAAATTGGGAGCCACTCAGGGTGGCCACAGTATTATAAACATGTTTGGAATTAATGTACACTTTCTATTACTTGTAGCAATTGACTACATTGTGCATGGTGTGGCAAGAATTACCGTCGCCTGTTATACCTATTTCTTATCATACAATTTACATCCTTAACAGTTGAACCCATTGTATGCTTGTAACATTCACATATGATATAGACAACATTTCTTAGGTGACACGGTGTAAGTACATGAAGTATCATACGGTGAAACTTCAAGTGGAACACTTATAGAAGTATAAGACCCCTGGAATATATTTTATAGGTACCAAGGATGTTCCCCTTAGACAGGTTTAACTGCATAATCATGTTTGCTCAATCTGATGTCAATAGCAGCTATTTTAAATGTTGGAAGATGTTTACATTAGCTATAATGTCGGGATGATGATTTTATCACTGAGGTCTTGAAAATATGACTGAGCGTTCTCATAGATTCATTTTATTTGGCATATGATTTAATCGATATAGATAATCTATATATGCTTTGCATTTCTCTCGATTTTGGGAAGTTACGGCCGCCGTGCATTGCCGTAGATCAAATGTGACTGGGTCATTACTATACATTGAAACCCCCTAGAATCGTATTTTAGCAAGACTCAAGAACATGTGTATATTTCTATATATATTTCATATCATTTATTTCAATGTTGGCGTCATATCTTTTTATTAGAATAAATAAGACACATAATCAGACACAGAAATTAATTAACTGATTTTAACTACAGCATAGGCTTAATCATGAGCTTTCAATTAGAAAACCCATGGCTTAATCGAACTAGGCTTTTGTTTTTTTACAGTCTGTCATACTGACTTTATATTAAAACCCCATGCATTATTATGCATTATACTTTCAGAATAATTTATCTTTTAAAGGTGAAATTCTGTAGATGATGATCAAAATTCAAAGATATTGCAAATGCGTGGATAAAAACTATTCTGTGTGCTCTACGGAAATGGAAACTGGGAGTCATACTTTTTTGCCCTTATGTCTACTTCTCTTTCCAGGTAGCTTATTAGACGAGATAATGAATTGGGAAATTATGAACATTTCATCGAAGCATATGAAATGTAACAATGATTTTGCAATTGGTAAGATGTCAACACCTGCAAATGTATTGTAACACTTTGTAACAGATATCAATCAAAAACAACAATAATATGTCACATGTCAAATGTTTACATATCATTATAGTATTTAAGGCTCTTAAACCTAAATTATTAAGAGATTTGTTATAATCAAAATATCTTCATGCATTTGATTTTATACCAACAACTTAAAATAGTTTTTCACAATTATCTTCAGATGCTGTGGAGCATGGCAATTACTCCATAGTTCTGCTATGAACACACTCAGTACATCAATCACATGTTTATCTCCTGGCTCACACTTGGCCTGAACTTTAGGCAACACATCCTTCAATATGTCTTTATAATCTTTACTAGAGAATCTATCGATCACATCCACCTGTGTCGCTGAGGAATGAATCTGTAAATGATCCATTAGACCAAAAAATATATCATTAATGTTTGATTTCAATTTGTATCTCATGTTCATTGTTGATTCTGTGCCTTGTTTTCCGGAATCCGCTGAACTGAACACAGTTAATAATTTGGCAGCAAGGCATGGAGTGCCATCTAGTGGCTGTCCGACGAAACATGATTTCACAGCGTTGCCCAATTTTGACGTCGATAGACTGTTAACTTTTATCCAATTTATAACATCAGATAAAATTTCTAACTTTGGTTTTGCACTCTGGATGAATTCCACAAGCCACTTAACCATGACACACCCCAAATATATTTCCATTTTATCAATCTGGCGTTTGTTTCCACTACCAGGTTGCCAGGAGGTCAACAGTTGTGCCAGTAACACTTGACATTCCACATCACCACTGTCTTTCATATTATAACCTGCGGTTACATCCAAGAGAACATCCCCATGTAATTTATCTAAGTCTGCTCTTAGTTGCTGATCCTGGTTGCTGGTGGCCCATGTAGACAGTAAGGAGTGAATATGGTGAGGGGTGACCTCAAGAGTGAAGCACTGCATATGACTCTTAGAGTACTGCAACATTGTAGCATTGAGATGTCCCCTGATGGAACATAGTAGTTCTAGTAGTTGCTTAAAGCTTGGTAGAGACATCTCTCCACTGAAAATATAAGAGAACAAGTGAAAGTCCAAATTGTACAAATATTATATGTGGAACTTCAAATTATTAATCGGCCTCAAAATTCCTTTCTTTCTCAATGCATCTTAGGCTAGAAGCTTATGTGAAACGGTCAATTCATCCCAGTGGGAACTAAGATTACCAATAAGAGTATATGTGTTACATGTACTTACATCATGCAAAAGATCTTAGAACTAAATAAATAGAAAAGCATTAACTACATGATAAAATATGTGGAATTTACTTCACAATATTCTTCTAGAGTTCCCTAGGTTATATGCTACAATGGCCATTTCAAATATGTCACTTAAACAAATAAAAAACAAGGCATTTTTAACATGAAAAATGTCACTACCTGCCAGTTGTAACATTTGTTACAGACGCCGGATGCCAACCACAAATCACCGACCACAATCCACAAAAAATGGAGACAATAACAATATGTCAACACTTCTGGTGATGACATAAAACAAACAAACAGACATACCTGAATGTGTCTAGAAGGGCCAGTGTAGTGTTATACATGTCTGTAGTAAAGTGCACGGGCAGGCAGCTAATATCTGAGCTGTGGTCTCTGTCCCCTAGAACAGTTCTCCACAAGACATCTAAGATTTCTAATACAATCTCATGTCCCTTTGGATCACGACTGGAATTACAATATGACAGGCATTAGAACTGATTGCATAGTTTCCCTCAAAAACGTTCATGATTTGAAATCAATTCCTTAATTTGGCGGCTTATATTGAAACATCTATTTTATTAATTCATGTTTATATTTCTAATCTATGGTCCTTGTACAACAAGTTTACACTTAAATTGTACAACAGGATTTAAAAATAATTTTTTTTTAATAGACACCTTGCAATTCACCTGAAATTGATACTTTCGATCTGCTTTTTCCCATAACTGTCTTCGACAAATCAGATGTCTATAGTTTCTATACTTTCGATCTGCTTTTCCCCATAACTGTCTTCGACAAATCAGATGTCTATAGTTTCTATACTTTCTATACTTTCGATCTGCTTTTCCCCATAACTGTCTTCAGATGTCTACAGTTTCTATACTTTCTATACTTTCTATCTGCTTTTCACAAAACTGTCTTTGACAAATTAGATGTCTATAGTTTCTATACTTTCTATCACATATTGTTTTACAATACATTGAGGCAATTCACCAAAATCGAAAGTGACCAAGAAACTTATGACGTCACATATTGTTTTACAATGTATAGAAAGTATCGAAAGTATAGAAAGTATAGACATAGGGATTTCACCAAAATGTAAAGTATAGAAAGTATCGAAAGTATAGACATAGGGAATTCACCAAAATCAAAAGTATAGACAGTATAGAAAGTATAGACATGTATAGACTTTAGAGAGTCCAATCGTCTAAGACTGAAAAAAGTATAATTAAAAAAAGCAGTTCGAAAGTATAGAAAGTATAGAATATGCCATAATTTTGGATATACATGAACAGATCATTCTCGTAGAACGAACTATAATTTGGTACACAAGGCTAGAATAACATTCAAATCTAAAACATGAAGAAAAATACTTTGATTGCCAACAAAACCAGAATGGAAGATGCAACAATGGAGTTCCCATTTCACCTCAAACTTACAGAAAGTCAAAGTAATATCAAAAGCATGGCAATGAGGATCAAAGAAAGGCCTTTTCAAACTTTTCATATACTAGGTAAAAGCAGACTTAGTGCATGTAAACTAATTTTGAAACAAAACATTAAATAGTTCACATTTTAGAATGGATGTTTTTAAATGATGGAAAAGGAGGATCTCACAAATATCTTTGGGAGACCTCTTGGCAATGTCTAGATCAACCCACAATCTTTTTATTCGTAAAAGGACAATGATCTGCGGGATTCAGAATATTTTTTAGCTTTCGCAATCAAGCTTTCATCTCATATTTTTCTTTCCAAATGTAAAATATGAGATCCAACCACGATTTTATTAATTTCGTCATTCAGAATTTAATGCCTTTCCCCTGAGTTTATTACACCTGAATGTAGTCTTATATGAATAGATCTAAACTTCATTCAAGTTAAGGCAAAACGTGACTATGTTTAGTGATCCAAATTGAAGTTTCAATAGACCCTTCAAAATGAAAAACATATCTTTGACAGTTTATAAAACAGGGGTTCATAAGTATGTTAAATGATCTTATTGCCACTAAACTTCTATTTGGAAACTGTACAAGAGGTCTTGGTGTCATACAGGGTGGTCAAAAAAACGGCAACCCTAATTTTTCCTCATATCTTTGTCATTTTTGGAAATTTCGTCCTGATATTTGGCACACATGTACATCATTCAATTTCATACTAGACTGTGTAATTTTATGAACATTGGTCTGATAGTCGCAATGTTACAGCACTTTAAACAAGGTGCCCCAGTTTTCCAATATCGTGCTGTAGGCAAACCTGCACATGTTTTCCAAACCTGTCAATGACATAACAGCATTCCTCAGCAAGTATGGCCTGAATGACACATGTGATCTTTATTTTGAGGTCAAATGTCTTTCTGGTGTTATTACCCTACACTCCATCTTTGGGGTATCCCCACTGGTAAAGATTAAATGGGGCCATATCTGGGCTATGGGGTACCCATTCATTGTCTGTTGTACTGCTGATAATGTGGTCATTGAAGTGGTCTTAAAGCCAATATTGTGCATCATTTGGTGTATGGGGTATGGTTCTGTCTTGTTGGAACCACTGTTGCTGCCTTTCAACCCCCCTGGGTTCACCTAAAGTCCCCAAGAACTCCATGGGAATCACAAAATAGAGTTTGATGTTGACAGTTATTGCATATCTGTTAGCATCATCAAAGGTAAAGGACCCTATCTTCTGAGAACACACTAAACTGTGCATCTGTCTGTGTGAAGGTGCCTCCCCACTACTTCATAAAGTGCTTTGCTCCCCAAGAATACATAATTGTTATAGTTTACCAGTGCATCAAGTTGGAAATGGAGTCCATTTGGATAACAGTCCAGCTCAGATAGCCCGAAAGTGGCCACCTGGGGTATGTTGCTTAAAATGCAGTAATATTGTGACTATCAGTCCGATGGTCATGAAATATGGTAGGTTGGTAGGAAATTGAATGATGTACAAATGTGTAAAATATCAGGGAGTTATTCCTTAGAATGACAAAGATATTAGGAAAAACTAGGGTTGCCGTTTTTTTGACCACCCTGTATATAAGATTGCATGTGTTGTCCCACTTTGAGACATCAATTTTCAAGAAACATTTTAAGTTGTAAAACAGAAAGTTGTGATGCGTATCAGAATGATGCAGTCGTCCAGGTTGTTTTCAACTAGGGATTGAAGGACAACATGCCTGTTCGTTCTACATATCGAGTATTTACACAAGTAAAACATGAAATAAAAACAATACAGGCGCACATAGATATCACAACTTGAAAGCTTCAAAGTTCAGAGAATTCATACAACGTCAACACTATATGATGCTTTCAAATATATATTAAAACTGACAAAACTTTATTTATTTGCTGCTTAGAACATGTAGAAGGACATGCTGGTTATAAAAGAACTAAACCGTTGCAATTTTACATTGGACGTACCCTCTTAAAGGACACCTACAGAAACAATAAACCAAGGTCAATTTTAACTGCAGATCGAATGCTGGTTTAAATCAAAAAGCAAAATGGCACTGCTTAGACGTATCTCAAATATGGTCGGAAGAAGTTCAAAATATTATAAAGCATATAGTGGACTGCAAAAATTGAAGTATTCCGAAGACGTAAAACAAGCACACAAAGAACAGAATTCGAATATTTTGTTTGCTATGGTGAGTCTGTCTTCGTGCACGGCAATCATAGAAAGTCGAAAATGATATTTGCTCTCAAAGCCACGCATAGTGTGATTGTCATTAGCCTACTATTCAAACTTGGTCCAGCTCGTATACTTTAATTTGTTATACAATTACAAAACAGACTTAATAGAAGTAACATTAGTCTTGCTTAAAATACCCTGTAGTCCCCCTCCCCCTTCATCCTTCTCTCTGTATATTGCCAGGTAAAGAGAGTGAATGTGGGGGGTGGGGGTGGATACAGTCTTTGAGCAAGACTAAAGTAACATCAGAACACAATCATTTGTTTACTTTGATAATTTCAGCAAACTGTTTTTCCAAAGTACAACATGTACATTTGGTATTCACCTAATCTTATTATGCAATTCTCATTGATAGAATTTGAGTTGGGTGTTGTTCAAATTGTCCGAACTCAGCACCTGTATTCTTTATTGTTAGAATTCGATTTTTCTTTATTCAGAATTGGGAAGATATTGCACCAATAAGGCATGCAATGGAAATCAAAAGTGGCGACAGAATCTTCACGATTGCATCATGTGGTGCCAATGCTATGACTCTTCTCCTAGACGACCCTGCTGATGTTGTGGCCCTTGATTTATCAATTCCACAGCTGCATTTGGCAAAGTTACAGGCAGCTTGCATCAAACATCTGACGCACCAAGAATTTATTGACTTTGCTGGGGTTGACAGAGAAAATGTGAAACCAGAGGAACGTGTCCGAATATATAAAGAAATCAGGAAAGCACTGGCACCAGATGTAAGAGAATTTTGGGACTCAATGAAATCTGAAATAGAGTTTGGCGTTATACACTGTGGAACATTTGATACAATTTTTAGAAATGCAGCCGAGGATATGGTTTATGTTGCACTTGATAAACGTGATATCAAAACATTCCTGGGAATGGGCGATGATATTGAGGAACAGGCCAACTTCTTTGAAGAAGTGATTAACACAAAACACTGGAGAAAAGCAATGTATAGGAGGGCCTACAATCAGTTGAAGGATTTCGATAATTCCATCATACCAGATGTGGATTATGGAACATTATTCTACCGAAGAATGGTAGACATTTATAAGTCCATTCCCATGAAAGAAAATCATTTTGCTGAATACTTTTTCACTGGCGGATACTCTGGGAAATACAAGCTCAGAGAATATCTCCAAGAGGAGAACTTTGCAACACTAAAAGATCGCATTGGTCGTATGCAGTGGGTCCATGGAGAACTCACCGATTGGCTTGCCAAGTACCCAAGCACTCAACAACCAAAGTTTGATGGAATCTGTGTATCCAACATAGCAGATTGGTTGTCCCTAGCCAACCACAATGCAGCAATTGAATCAGCTGCTAAAATCAGCAATCCAGGTGGAAGAATAGTGTTTTGGAATTTGAAAGGAATGCCCAAATACTGGCCAAGTGAAATGATTAATAAGACAATTAAGGTTGAACATGAATTAGAAGCGTCTGCAACACTACTGGACCGTTCACCCATTTGGGAGCCGCTCAGGGTGGCCACAGTATTATAAACATGTTTGGAATTAATGTACACTTTCTATTACAAGTAGCAATTGACTACATTGTACTTGGTATAACAAGAATTACCGTCGCCTATTATATCTCTACATGTCTTATCATACAATTTACATCCTTAACAGTTGAACCTTTTGTAAACTTTTGACATTCACATATGATATAGACAGCATTTCTTAGGTGATATGGTTTAAGTATCATACGGTGAAACTTCGAGTGGAACACTTCTAGAAGTATAAGACCTCTGGAATATATTTTATAGGTACCACGGACGTTCCACTTAGACAGGTTTAACTGCATAATCATGTTTGCTCAATCTGATGTCAATAGCAGCTATTTTAAATGTTGGAAGATGTTAATTACAAGGTATAATCTCGGGATGATTTTATCATTGAGGTCTTGAAAATATGACTGATCGCTCTCATATTCATTTTATTTGGCATATGATTTAATCGATATAGATAATCTATATATGCTTTGCATTTCTCTCGATTTTGGGAAGTTACAGCCGCAGTGCATTGCCGTTGATCACATGTGACTGGGGCATTACTATACATTGAAATCCCCTAGAATCGTATTTTAGTAAAAATCAAGAACATGTATATAATTTATTTCAATGTTGGCGTCATATTTTTTATTACAATAAACAAGACACATTATCAGACACAGTTATTAACTGATTTTAACTACAGCATGGGCTTAATCAAACTAGGCTGGTGTTTTTATAGTCTGTCAAACTGACTTTATATTAAAACCTCAATTTTGTTAATTTTGTAAATCATTCAGTTTTAAAGCATTATACTTTCAGAATAATTTATCTATTAATATGCAAAGATATTGCAAATGCGTGGACAAAGACTATTCTGCTTGTGCTCTACGGAATTGGAAACTGGGAGTCATACTTTTTTTTGCCCTCATGTCTACTACTCTTTCCAGGTAGCTTATTAGACGATATAATGAATTGGGAAAGCATGAACATTTCATCAAAGCATATGAAATGTAACAATGATTTTGTTATAGTACAGTTTCCATGTAGCTTTTGAAATCTCGCTAAATCTCGTTTTTCGTGAGATTTTAAGAGACTTGCATATTAGACCTCGAATGACTTACATTACCTCCTTTTAAATGGCATATTTGAATTCAGTGAAATGTTTTCTCCTACAATAGCTTTGATTTGCATAGTTATGCAATTTGAATAATCTTATATGAAAATTTAAAAAAACTCGGGCCAAATGTCCATAGATGCAATGCTAGAATTCTTTAAAACCTTGGATTATTTGTATGTCAATCAACATTTGCATGTTTAATCACAACATGTACATAATAAACAGGGTCATCATGTTGTATAACATTCAAGTTTTATACAGATTCAACGAACACACTTTGATAAACCATGAAATTAAGCCACTTTTTCAAGATTTTAGCATGTAAGTGAATGGAACTCTAGCCCAAGTTAAAAGCTGAATAAAAGATGGCAGCACTAGATTTTTCTGCTATTTAGAAACTATCCTATTGATAAGATGTCAACACCTGCAAATGTATTGTAACACTTTCTAACAGATATCAATCAAAAACAACAATAATATGTCACAAGTCATATGTTTACATATCATTATAGTATTTTAAGGCTCTTTAACCTAAATTATTAAGAGATTTGTTATAATCAAAATATCTTCATGCATTTGATTTTATACCACAAACTTAAAATAGTTTTTCACAATTATCTTCAGATGCTGTGGAGCATGGCAATTACTCCATAATTCTGCTATGAACACACTCAGTACATCAATCGCATGTTTATCTCCTGGCTCACACTTGGCCTGAACTTTGGGCAACACATCCTTCAATATGTCGTTATAATCTTTACTAGAGAGTCTATCAATCACATCCACCTGTGTCCCTGAGGAATGAATCTGTAAATGATCCATTAGACCAAAAAATATATCATTAATGTTTGATTTCAATTTGTATCTCATGTTCATTGTTGATTCTGTACCTTGTTTTCCGGAATCCGCTAAACTAAACACAGTTAATAATTTGGCAGCAAGGCATGGAGTGCCATCTAGTGGCTGCCCGACGAAACATGATTTCAAAGCGTTGCCCAATTTTGACGTCGATAGACTGTTGACTTTTATCCAATTTATAACATCAGATAAATTTTCTAACTTTGGTTTTGCACTCTGGATGAGTTCCACAAGCCACTTAACCATGACACACCCCAAATATATTTCCATTTTATCAATTTGGTGTTTGTTTCCACTACCAGGTTGCCAGGAGGTCAGCAGTTGTGCCAGTAACACTTGACATTCCACATCACCACTGTGTTTCATATTATAACTTGCGGTTACATCCAAGAGAACATCCCCCTGTATTTTATCTAAGTCTGCTTTTAGTTGCTGATCCTGGTTGCTGGTGGCCCATGTAGACAGTAAGGAGTGAATATGGTGAGGGGTGACCTCAAGAGTGAAGCACTGCATATAACTCTTAGAGTACTGCAACATTGTAGCATTGAGATGTCCCCTGATGGAACATAGTAGTTTTAGTAGGTGCTTAAAGCTTGGTAGAGACATCTCTCCCCTGAAAATATAAGACAACGAGTGAAAGTCCAAATTGAATAAATATTATGTGGAACTTCAAATTATTAATCAGCTTCAAAATTCCTTTCCTCGCCTAGAAGCTTATGTGAAACGGTCAATTCATCCCAGTGGGAACTATGATTACCAATAAGAGTATATGTGTTAAATTAACTTATTTCATGCAAAAGATCTTAAAACTAAATAAATAGAAACGCATTAACGACATGATAACGTATTTGGAATCTACTTCACAATATTCTTCTTCTTGAGTTCACTAGGTTATATTCTACAATGGCCATTTCAAAAACAAGGCATTTTCAACATGAAAAATGTCACCACCTGCCAGTTGTAACATTTGTTACAGACGCCGGATGCCAAACACCAATCACAATCCACAAAAAAAGTTGGAGACTATAACAATATGTCACCACTTCTGGCGATGACATAAAACAAACAAACAAACAGACATACCTGAATGTATTTAGAAGGGCCAGTGTAGTGTTATACATGTCTGTAGTAAAGTGCATGGGCAGGCAGCTAATATCTGAGCTATGGTCTCTGTCCCCTAGAACAGTTCTCCACAAGATATCTAAGATTTCTAATACAATCTCATGTCCCTTTGGATCACGACTGGAATAACAATATGACATGCATTAGAACTGATTGCATAGTTTCCCTCAAAAACGTTCATGATTTGAAATCAATTCCTTAATTTGGTGGCTATATTGAAATATTTATTTTATTAATTCATGTTTATATTTCTAATCTATGGTCCTTTTACAACAAGTTTACACTTATATTGTACAACAGGATTTTTGAAAAATGATAGTGATGAAAATGAATATAAAGCATGGAAAAATGACAGATAATATTTTGTGATATGGCTGGCCCAAAAATTTAAATAGTAGACACCTTGCAATTCACAAATGCTCTAGTGCTAATCACAAAGGATCATATCTGTTAGTTATGCCTGGGTCACATTTGCTCCGATCCATCGGCCGGCACCTGTTTTGCTCAATATTGTATTCAATTTTGAACAAAATACTCAATCGGCCAGGCGCCGTAGTGAAAATCGGAGCAAATGTGACCAAGGCATTAATGAAAACACAGAATGAAATCTTGTGTTCTTACCATGACTGAGCTGCCTGTCCAAGCCACTGTAACAAGGCCTGCTGCTTAACAAGGTCCAAGGCAACTGACTTGATGCCACATCCTGCTTTCACAATTGATAGAACCTGTAAGTCAATAAGAGATATCAAATATTGCTTTGGTTAGAAATATAGACATAATGTGACTTTTATACCTTGGTCACATTTTCACTACGACGCCCGGCCGATTGAGTATTTTGTTCAAAATTGAATACAATATTGAGCAAAACACTCAATCGGCCAGGCGCTGGCCGATGAATGGGAGCAAATGTGACCCAGGCATTACTTTAGAAAGTCAAGTCCTATACTTTACATGTATATACAGTGATTTAAGTTTTAATTTAGTTTAGATAGTTCTTTCAACCAGTATATCACACTTGTGTCTCATGTAGCAGTTATGTCTCTGAAATGGTCGAGACTTGTTGAGCATGCACAACCTTCAATTTCCATCAGCTATGCTTAAAACAAGTTAAAAGAATTAAGCTTATTCAGGCCTTACATTCTTGTAACCTTGTTTCACATCTCAAAATTACTTTCTTGATATTTAAATATCTTACTTGTTTCTTGGTGTATGGATCACTAGTGCTGGAATCATAGAAACTTAGTAGAAGTTTGAAGACGTAACGTTTCTCAAACATGCGATAATCTGATGTTTCACGCAGTCCCTCTGCCATTAGCTGTAGTATCCATGCTCTCTCAGATTTAAACTGAAACATCAGAGTTCATTAGAATTTAAATGTTATGTTGTTTTACCTGAAGGAGTATCACACTCAGGCTCGTAGCCTGAGGGGGGAGGGTCAAGTGTGTAAGAAACCCTCCTGGCAAAATGGTCATGTGTGAACCCCCCTTGGCAAAAACTGGCTCAGGCCTGAGACTTGTTCGAGCACATTAATCTTACTTAAAAAGGTATACTTCAGAAACAAAGTGCAAACAATAATAAAATTCCCAAACTGTGATATTGCAATCGCTGACTCTCAAATGCCCTATAATCCTCATCATCATCTGCAAGAGGCATCCAGAAGTTCATCATTATCAAGAGGCAAAAACACCTTAAGGTATCTTGTTTAACTATATACAGTGTCATGCAGGTTTCATTATACATTTCTTACCTCCAATGCTGAAGAGTTGAAGAACTTGTAGAATTCTGGTATGTTAGTGACATCTATACTTGGTTTGATGAGGAGGAAAGAGTAGACCTGCTGGTACATATGGCTGTCTGAAATTACAAACAAATCAACTGTTGTTCATTCTATTTGATTTTTTTTAACATTTTAGGCTAACATATGTGTTATAGGCAATGTGCATGTAAAAGCATGAAAAAATTCAAAAGATGGGTTTTGTTACTCTGGAGAAAATATTCAATACAAGGACACATAACATGCAAAATGTCACCACCTGCCATTTGCTACAGACGGCTGCCAAAGATAGGCCACTCAAAAGTTGGAGACAAGAACAATACATGTATATAACCACTTCTGGTGGTGAACCATATGTTAAACTTACCTGGTTTGAGCAATAGTTCCACAGCTTTGCCCAGGAAGAGAGTTATAATGCAGGGGAACTTGGTGTTAGGTTTCACCATACTGTTGCGTAGTAGCTCCAACATGTACAGCACCTAGGACAAACCAAACAAGGCATATGACAAAATGGCTATATGGTTGCAATTACAAGATTGGAAACATTTGTTAAAGACACCTCAATATTACCCAGGTCACCACAAAAATGGTGGTTAGAATAGTGGTGACATACATGTAAATTAGGAAATGGACTCACTTCAACTATTTCGATTGAGGATCATATTTACAAGTGATCTAGCAATGATGGTTAGTAAAATAATTATCATTTAGAATGTCTGTATGAAGTCTGTATGATAAAGAATTGAATAGGTTTCTTCAACCTGTATGAGTTATTAGGCAAAAAGTAAGTCATATGACTTGATGAAATGTAACTTGACTATTTTGGCAAGTTTAATGAGGTGAAATATGAGATGGTCCACTTCTAAAGTTTTAGGAAGTAAATCACTGTATACCTGATCTCTCTCCTTAAACTTGGAGCCATCTACTTGCTGCATGAACCGTGCTAAGGTATGGTAACCAAGTTTACGCATTGTGATGTCATGACTGCTCAATGACATCAGCAGGTAACCAAGGCAACCTGTCTCCAGGAACTGGTGGCAACTGATAATGGATTCTAAAATTGGAAATAAGAAATTAAAGGTATATACCTGTTAGATTGTCATGTCTTTCATACTTGGCTAATTCCAATCAACAAGAATGACTTTCAGATAAGAGAACTTCATATATTGAGATACGTGTATGCAGAAATGTGGTTTTATAACTTTAACTTATTGCATTCTGGGTAATATAATATATGGCCAATCCAGTATATATGCACAACCAATTATGATCATATGACAATATCTGAATTTAATTTGAATTCACTGTAAATTAAAGCACGGGCTCATAGGCACTTTTTTACAAATTCCTAAAACACTGTTGAACATACAGCTGTGTCAATAATAGTGGAATACAGCAGAACAGTATGGCAAGATCAATAAATTTTTCATCAATAAAATGAAAATCCGAAATAAAGATAAACATACTAATATTTTGGGCCACTTTACATTATTTTTTATTGCTTATTTGTTTCAATAAATTGCTTATCATCACATCACCATTAAGTGCTATTTATTTACCAAGTACCCACCTGGAGCCAGAATGTGTGCAAACAGTGGCAAAATGAAACACGGGTCATAACATCCTTCTATATCACTGTCTAGACCCTCTGCTGCAATCTCAGGCTAAAAATATAGAATAAGAAACTTTGTGAATAATTAAAAACATATTAGTCTGATAAACTGTGGTCCCTACTTAATTTGGCGATTTTACCATTTTTGGCATATTGGTGGCTATTTAATTTGGTGGATATGCAAAAAGAATTTTTCAATTTCGCCAAATTCGCCAAATTAAAGCGGGCGCCAAATTAACCCAATCTACAGTAGTAAAATACCTCAAGTTTTCTTCGGAGGGGGAACTTCAACGTTGACCGACGCAGCAGTTCGACATCCAGTAGACCAATCACCTGCTCTGTTGTGGCCTGTTTCATTAGCGATGGACCTAACGTTTGCTTTACTTCTTCATGCTCTAGGGACTTTTCACCCCAGAGATATGGCCTGAAACAAAGTTACAATAGAACTTATCAGCTGTTGTCACAATTTTCCATCCAAGGCTGAATAGATCTCATATAAATGTCTGTCTCACTTGACCAAATATAGTGCATCTTAACACACCTGACCAATAAATAGGTAAAATGGATTTTCAAATAAATGAGAGCTTATTATTTGAACATGCAGACATATTCTAAAGCAACTGACATGCTTCAATTACTAAACAAATGTTAGAGACATTTCACATGATGTTTTTAGCCTTATCATACCTGGTATGAATTGATCTAGAATTTGCATTCTTTGAATCAATATCTCACAGATGTGGAATAAAAACTATAAGAGAAATTCTCTCCAATCTCCTCATTACCTGTACTTATTGGAGCTGACTCCATGTTTCTCATACAATGACATCAAATATAGCAGCTTAGAATCCTCCAGAGACATTGTCGCCCCATATGCCCCTAAATACACACTAAAGTGGTTCTCATTGCAGCATGTAGCATCCAAACCAACCAGATTTATCAATACATCAAGTAAAGATGACTTGCATGTTTTACCAGATCTTGTTGTACCGCCATCTTGGATTTGAGTGACATCTATAGGTGACTTAAGAGTTTCATCCTCAGTCTGATCATTATCTACACTCCCCATTATAACTTGCATAAAGTTAGAATGACTGATGACCATTTGGAATAAGGTCAATACTGGGAGAGTTGACTCCAATCCAGATCTATCTGTGTCATTGTTTGTGTTCTCATCTTCGTTTGTCTCCATAGCTTCTTCATTGCTATCTTCATTTTCTTGATTTGTACCCTTGGCTTTGGGTTGTGTATAGCATTTTGTGATGATCTTTCCAATGAAAACCAGAACATTAGGAACGGTGTAGAAATTCCTGAAACAAAGATGTCAAAAATGACATGGATGATCTCAATTTCGAAACACTGAACATTGAAGTCAACATGGTACACAAATTCAAATATGAGGACATTATCTTATTCGATGCTTCTAAAATAGAATCCATGATACAAAATGTTCCATATTCCCAAAATATGGTAAATAGTAAAATACTAAACTAAATAATGATGGCTCAGAGTGCTTACTTCAAAGAATATTTCACAAATGGCAGCCATTGTGCTTCAATAGCTTTTGCTATAGTAACATCATCAACATCACCAAGTGTCTCCAAGGCGACAGTTATGACATCATTCAGTTTCTGAAGCATAACTGGGTCTTTCACATCAGATATATTCTGTACACATGTAATACAATCCTGTAGGAATTTGGTTTTATAATGCAAGTCCAAGGAGTCTTCATGGGAAAGATACTCCACAATGCTTTTGTAAAGCTCCAACTGGGGTTTTCCCAATAAACCTTCAGCTTGTAAATGCTTGGTAATGCTTGTCAGCAACTTCTTCCATTTCTTGTCATCTGTAATGAAGCATTATTCAAGATGTATATTGGTGAATCGTTTTACGCTAAAAAAAATAATTTCAAGATGGCCGCCGCTTTAAAAATGACGGGACTTTTTCGCAAAAATCATAATTTTTTCATTCTTAACCAAAGTAATTAATATTATTGTTTGAAATTTTGTTGTTGCAGTTATCTAAATATTGGACAATGTGTTCAGTAAAACCTTGCTAAATGGAACACTTTTGGTACCTCCAAGAAGTGTTCCACTTAGAAGGTGTTCCACGAGGTTCATTTAACATAAGTCAGTTGGTCTTGGGACTATGAAAAGTGTTCCAATAACAGAGGTGTTCCACTTCTAGAGGTGTTCCACTTTACAGGTTTCACTGTACATTGCTTTTTACCTTGGATTCACAGAAATTGGATACTCTAAAATAATTGCTTTCATCAGCTATAAATATAAATTGTAATATCTTAATGTAACATTTTGCCAAATTAAAATATTAAGTTTCAGAGGCAGGTTTTTGAATTTAATTCGCAGCTAAAATACATAATAGTCACTATAGCACTTACCAATCAATTTGCATTGAAGTAAAATCTCCATCATTCCACACAAGGTAGAGCCCCCATCTTCCCCCAAGACATTCTCACTCAGGGCCTTAAAGTATATCTCCAACCCCTTCTTGGGTGCCACAACGTCAAAGAAGGCAAGTCTCTCCTTTTCAGTCATATATAACATAGCTGAGGTGAGCCCTGGTGTCATCCTGACCAAATCCAATTGACTCCATGTCTGTTTTAATTCCTCTATTAATACACATCTCAAGGCTGGGCTTTGCTTTATTAAGGTGTTCAATAGTGTCAGCTTCGTCCGAGTTGATGGGGCCAGTTTGGTAGGTATAAGCAGGGTGAACAAAGATTGTGTAACAGCCAACGCATACATGGAGTTCCCCTGCATTAACTGATCTACTATACTCCATAAATCATTATTATTCACAGCCCATGTGATGTGCATTAGCTTAGAGACCAACTGAATTGGGATAACCTTCTCTGTGTGAAGGGTGAGATTGCGTCTCAATCCGCCCACAATTATTTCTCCATTTCTTGTCAGTTCTTCACCAACCACCAACTCATCAGCATCCATATGTCCAACTAAATCGATTAACTCTGTTGCATCCATTAAATCAACAAAAGCAGCCATGTGCTCCAACAACACCTGAGTGCATTCTCCTTGGCAAAGCCCTGTTTTGATTTTACCAAGGAATGGCTTCAGTTCGGTTCTAATGTCAACGTGTTTGATGATCTCTGCATTGGCAGTTAGCATTTTACACATTGAGCTAGTAAATGGCAACTTTTCAGGAAAGTGTTCCTGAAAGGCTGGGTGCTTGAGAATAAGTCTAAGAACATTGTTCAGTTTAGAAATAGCAGCATCTTGCACTTTTATGCTGTCACATGCGTTTTCTTTAGATTCATCATTATCATTGTTGTCATTTGTAGTGTCACTGGTTTGTTCATTTTCCATAGGTTCCTCTCCATTATCTTCATTAGGATTACCATTGTTAGGACACATGTTCTGTACAGCTGTGCAAAGTAATTCAAGGTAAAACTCAAGTTGACCAGTTGCTCTCTGAAAATACAGCCATGATTGGAGATTTAATATTCAATTTTTTATAAACGGTTTTATTTTTTTGGTTACATTTCAATCAACACTATCACTAAAACAGGACAGAATATATATTTCGAATTCATTTTTTGATTCCTATTTAATTGTATTACAATATTTTTATAACAATTAATCTCAATGGACATTGTTATTGAGTAAACTGCTTGTTAAAACAAATAATATACAAGAAAAGAATAATGGAAATAAATTATCTCCTTAGCATTAAGGCCATTGAGAATCAAAATGTTGTTGAATGAATTAGTTAAAAATGTTATCCAAATATTTCTTTATATAGGATAAATCAGGCCTGTAGCCAGAAGGGGGTTTCAGTTTTTAATAATCAATTCCAGGGAGTGTTCTTTGACAATCTTGGCCCAGAATGACCCAAAGAGCTCAAAATGGTCAAAAATTGTATTATTTTGAAAGATTTTTTTTGGCCTGTACTTAATTGCAATGCAAAAACTTCCTCTAATTGACCTTGAGATACTGTTCGAATTCTATATCATATGATCTACAAGCCAATGTGGGATAGTCTGTACTCTCTCAAGCATTACATAAAGGGAACTCAGATAGATCAGAATGACACATCTACAATCATCAATCTTGACTAAATAGATCAGTTTTCAGTAAATTATACAACATAAATGTATTGAAAAAAAAATGTATATCAAAAACAGGATCACGGTCACCAACACCTGTGATTTTTTATTTTAAACTTAAGAGAAGAAATTTATTTGACACTTTATGAGCTGAATGTTTTGATGCACAACATTTATCTAAACCACAGCTTGTGTTTATTACATTATAAAGAACTGAGAAATAACCATGGCTGACAGTGTCAACATCTCTTCGAACATTCAGGTATGTATTTTTTTATATTGAAATCATTTTTATGTTAACAAAAAAATAGATCCTACACAATCAACATTAAATAGGTGTCAGGATGGTATTGACTGGTGGAACTTATAAATAAGTATTAAAGTCTATTTAAGTTTTTCTCTCCACTGATCAAAACTAAACAAGGCACAGTGTGAACAATATCGTACCTAAAATATAACATTTATAGCATCTTTTTAGCTACTTCAGACAAACAAGTGAATTGCTATGATGACTGATTTTTCACTTCAGATCAGACAGCTACCCCTGACTTGGATGAGAAAAATAATTACAGCAATACAATGCTTTGATAAAGATAAAGATGGAGTTGCAGGACCAGAAGATCATATGGTAGTAGCAGATAACCTTGTCAGGGAAGGTACACTGAATACTAAACTCAATAACTGTTTTAGTTTATTGTTTTGTTTCTTGTTCTAAAATAATAAAAAGCATACAACTGCAACGATTGTAGAACAATTAGACAAAAAACATTGATGATGGATACCTTGTTTATTCCCCAGCATGCCCAAAACTTAATTTGACCTCTACAAGTATGAACGGTTGATTGTTTTCATGCTTTCTTGATAACAACGCTTTGTGTGTTGCCCACTACACCCATCAACTCCAGACTACAACAATATAGCTGAGCTAAGTTTAATTTTTGTTTATTCCTTGACTATGAAATGTTCATAAAGGTTTTCTCGTGAAAATCATGCAAGTCATCCATTGCTTTTATTATCAGGTAACTTGACAGGGGAGGCAAGAGATGACATGTACCGGGTCTTCAAAGATTACTGTGATTTAGGGGCTTCACAAGATATTCCCAGTTCTATTTCATTGGCAGACCAACTTGTATCAATTTGGAAATGCAAAGACAACCCAGAAACAATTGAAATCTGGTTGAACATATTCTCAAAAATTTTCGAGGTAAAAATCACAAATAAACTAGAACATTTACGCGGCATTATTAAAACCTAACCCAATTAACTGATTTTTGCAATGTCCAAAAGGCCCCAGGCCAATTTTGTCACTTGATGGTTTATTAGTTTGTTGCATTTTTTGAAACATTATAGAATTTGAAAAGTTTTAACATTTATCCATCAGAATAACTTTATGGCACTGATTTGTAGTGTCTATGCATGGATTCTTCTGGCTTCATGACATTTGATAACTACATGATATTTTGGAATGGGATGAGCCTTGACAAGAGATTTGCACGAATGCAGTTTGACTACATGGATACAAATGGTGACGGATTGATAAGCCAGGAGGAATTTGCCAACGCATCTGTGGAATTTACTCGTAATACAGATGAAACTACTCTCAACCGCTTTTTAGGACCTCTCATAAACTACTAACATATCTTGGTCTCTCTCCTGAACTTGATATTGCAAAACAGATAAAATATACATGTAACATTGGGGCATTGATAAGATATATATTGCCTCTAATGGGATCATGTATATGTGTGTTTAAGATAGATGTAGCCATTGCCTCAAATTGAAGTCTTGATGAGAATGTCTTTGGTGAGAAATGAACTTTCTCACTTGCATATTATATTCCATTGTTCGAGCAACATTTTTCCATATTGATTTTAATTTTAATGTAAAATATTGCCTGGACAGAAAAATGTTTGGACAAAGGTACAGATTGATGGATAGATGCAGCCTATATCCCCAAAACTTCTTTCAGTTGGATGATCATAAAGGACGATTCTCGGTTTGGAGAACGAAGTTCATCAATCTAAATGAGCATTATCCCTGCTTCGGACAAATTTGATTTTTTTACATAATATAGATTGGAATGGCTTCTTTTGAACAGTCATAATTTAATTTGGGTAATATTTCTAGATTTTTCGCGAAAAAATATTAGCACAGTACACTGATGAACTTTTTTCCCCAAATCGAGACTTGTATTTTATTGAATCGGTCAAATTGAACGTTATCCCTGCTTCAGACCAATTTGTAAATCCTACATCTTGTAGATTTAAATGTCCTCTTTTGAATATTTATAGTTTAATTTGGGTAATATTTCTATATTTTTCATTAAAAAATTATTAGCCCTGGAGACTGTTCTCCAAACCGAGAATCGTCCTTTGTTAAACTGTCAAAAACAAGATCACAATAACCTCGGCTAATCAACCAACACTGTGATTTTCTATTTCAAAGAGAGGAAAGAAAATTTAACACTTAATGACTTGAATGTTTAGTTGTACTTACAAAAGTAAACTCAGACAAATCCTAGGTTTATTACATTATAAAGAACTGAGAAGTGACCATGACTGACAGTGCTAACATCTCTTCCAATATACAGGTAAGAATGTTATATTAAAATTATTTTCAAGTCAACAAAAAATCATAGCACACTCAGCATTATCAATGGTCCTGGCCAACTGGTGTTCTGGTCTTGGATTGTGATATCGGTTCTTGAATAATGGGGGGAAAGGGGGTATTAGACATTGTTTCTTTTCACGTTAGATCATGGTTTTGGGCTAGATGGGGTTTATTTTTCTTGACTGGTATGCACTTAGAGTTTGCTTTTCCTTGCTAAGTTCCATTACAACTTTTGGTCCTTTCCCTTTGGCACTAGTGCTTATATATATATATATATGTTGCAATTACATTGAAACTAAGGCACCTAAAATTGCAATAGATTGCAAATCGAAGGATCTCCTATATGCTATGGTATGTGCGCGCGGGTTGCGGAGAGATTTATATCAGCCAAACAGGTGATTGTCTCCGTAACCGGGTCCGTGTGCACAGACAGCAAATTAGAGACAAAACTACAAGAATGCTACCTGTAAGTGTGAATATAGCCCATTGTGCAAAGTAACAAGACATCAAATTCCGTATACTTCCGTTTTATAAATTCAAGACGGATTGCTTGGAAGAGAGACTTACCCATGAAAAACATTTTATACATGTGTTTAAACCTAAACTGAACAATAAATAATAAAAAAAAATAAAAAACGTTACCAATAGTAACACCACTGAACAAGTGAATGATAGCTATAGTTCACCATCACTGGTGATCCACTCGATTACGCTGGTTGGTTCGTTTTGGTAACAAAATGTCGGAACATCGAAGGTACGATTTTTCTCGTTTCCTTATTTTACACGTTGTAGGCAGAATTCCCACGACATTTTTTAACACAAACGTGTATCAGTATCATATGTTTAAGAAATTGTACATATTTGCGAACAAATAGTTCAGAAGACAAAAGAATCGTCGATTTACTTCTTCACTTAAGTTACATAAACGGTTTCGGTTAAAAGTGCAGATCTTAACTGTTTTTCGAAAAAACCGTTTATGTAACTTAAGTGAGGAAGTAAATCGACGATTCTGTTGTCTTCTGAGCTATTTTTTTCGCAAACATGTACATTTTCTAAAACATATGATACTGATGCACATTCTGAGAAAAAACGTCGTGGGGATTCTGCCTACAACGCGTGAAATAAGGAACAGAGAAAAATCGTGCCTTCGACGTTCCGACACTTTGTTACCAAAACGAACCGTTTTGGTAACCAGCGTAATCGAGTGGATCACCAGTGACCATGTGAGCTAAAAAGTATGTTGATGGGTTGATTGCTAGTTAAATATCTCTGAGGCCGATTGCCTTTTATTATCATTGTATATGACATTTCTTTAAGATAATGAATAGATCAATAAAAAAAATATACCTGTCCATGGTCAGGAAATAGTCATATCAAAGACATAAATGTCTGACAGTTTACAATAACCTACCTGAATCTTTACAAATCAGTTGAAATGTTCAAACTCAATATTGATGTCTTTTGCATTAATACAATAGAGTTGTAGTTTTGTTGCATTAAATTCCTTTTAAAAAAGATTTTTCACTTAAGATCAGGCAGCTGCCCCTGACCTGGATGAGAAAACTACTAACAATAATACTAAACAATGATAAAGATAAGGATGGATTTGCAGGATATGAAGATCATATGGTAATGGCAGATAATTTGGTTAGAGCAGGTATACTCATTACTTAAATCTCAGCGATTGTTCTGATTTATTGTTTTTTATGTATTGACCTTTGTCTCAAGACCAATAAAAGCATAGAACTGCAACAATTCTAGAATGACACACATTGATTTTTATTTCAATTTTTTTACTTCAATTATAACATATTAACATAATTTTCCAGGCCCCATACATGGCCCTCAGGGGTCAGGCTGGAAAAAGGAATATCTATGAAATAGAAAATTTCAAACAGTGATTTTTATTACTTAAGAAGAAAATAAAAATCTTAAATTTTCCTGCCAGATTCCTGCAATTTTTAAAGCGGCGGCCGTCTTGAATTCTTTTGCATACAACTGTTCACAGATATATATGTACATCTTCCCACCAAATATGATGAATATCAGTCTTTATCTTCCGAACGAACAGAGGACTGGCAGACTGATGGAGGGCTTTACTAGTTACACAGCACACCCAAAACCTAATTAGACCCTTAAGAACAAGTCTGACCAGTTAATTGTTTCCATAGTGTCTTGATGACAAGACTTCTTGCGCTATCAACCTAAACCAATCAGCACAAGATGATGAAATGATATAGCAGAGGTTAGTTTAAACTTTGTTTGACTGTTAATCAGGAAAAGTACACACCCAATTCTCATTACATCATACAAATGGTACTGGATGACGTGCTTTTGGCACCAATTTTGTAAGTATTCATTTATTTCAGAGTTTTGACAGACTATGAGCCTTTCTTCTTCATAGAATCATTGCTTGCGCTGCACATAGATGCCTCTTGTATCACTAAGTCTAAACATTTTTTCTGAAAACGATCTTGAACTTCTCAAATTTTCTAGAAAGCACGACAATTTCTTGAAAAAAGTTGTCAATTTAACAATATATACATCATATTCCTGACATCTTGAGTTATATCATTATGTTAAAGTGACTAAATAATTAATAAAATCATTAAACATCATCCAGACACTTCAGTTTCCAAAATAAATGGAAGAATTTAGAGAAATTAATTGAGAAGTGTACGACATGAATGGTATGCATAAAATGCACCATGATATTGCCGTAGTTTCTAGAAGATTTGTGAAGTTCTAGATCATGTTCAGAAAAATGTTGAGACATATAGCGATACGAGGGGCATCTCTGCTTAGCTTGGAAAATGTTTACATCAAGATGAAAGAATCTTAATGCGCCAAAACATACGTACGGCGTGTTGAGAATTGGGAGTGTATTTTTCCTGAGTAACATTCAAACAAAGATTTATCTGATAGCTCTGCTATATCATTTTATTGTCTTGTGCTCATTGGTTTTTCAAGGCTTTCCAAATGAAAACCATACATATCACCCATAACTAACTTTGATCATCAGGTAACTTGACAGGGGAGGCAAGAGATGACATGTACAAGCTCTTCCGAGATTACTGTGATTCAGGGGATACACAAGATATCCCAAGTTCATTTTCATTGGCAGACCAACTTATAACAGTGTGGAAATGCAAAGATGACCCAAAAACAATTGAAAAATGGTTCAATATGGCCTCAAGAATTTTCCAGGTAAAAATCCAAAATAAAGTACAGAACATTTATGGTGCATTATACCTGGCCCCATGAACAGATTTTTGCAATGTCTAAAACTTGGTCCCGAGCAATCTTTGGCCCATTGTGCAAATGGAATCATTTATAATTCAGTCCCAAATTTAGCCAACCATTTAACCATTATTGTGACAGAGAAATGTGGTTTTAGGGTATAATGAATAAAATAAATGCAGTTGATCATTAGTACTAAAGGAATTGACAAAAGGGGGGCGAGTTGTTTGTAGAATGAATCGGGGGATTTTTTTCATGAATTTCGCTTATGTTTTTCATCCAAAAAACATCAATACACTTTAAAACATTTTGTTTACCTTAAGATTACACCATGTAATCCAAAAATATATGTCTCGTTTTCAAAGATAATCCATGGATTAACACCCAGATATTTTTATTTTTCAAACTTCAGAGGGCTGGGAATCATTGATGCTCAACGCTTTTAAATACGATAAATGCTGTTTTATTAAATTACATAATTTGAGAAATTATTGGCATACGTAAAACCTATTTAAAACAGCATTTATCGTATTCAAAAGCGTTGAGCATCATTGATTCCCAGCCCTCTGAAGTTTGAAAAATAAAAATACCTGGGTGTTAATCCATGGATTATCTTTGAAAACGAGACATATATTTTTGGATTACATGGTGTAATGTTAAAGTAAACAAAATGTTTTAAAGTGTATTGATGTTTTTTGGATGAAAAACATAAGCGAAATTCATGAAAAAAATCCCCCGATTCAATCTACAAACAACTCACCCTCTTTTCAATAACTTCCTCCTGT